TATATATATATATATATATATATATATATATATATATATATATATATATATATATACCTTATATCTACCCCAAATGAGCAGAAAGAGTGTTTCAGTGTGAAAATCTCTAGCTTGTAAAAAGCCCATTCATGATCAACACTGGTTTGATATCGATTCAGTAGTTTAAGTTGTACTGAATTCCGTATGCTTGAAACCTAATTAATAAAAATACAAAAATGGTTCCGTTTTATGAATCATGAGTTTCGTCAGTGTTATTATTTCTTGTTACGAGTCACGTCAATTTATTTAAAGTGAATTTTGTCGGTATGATGAATTTGGTGAATTTAGTAAGCATGGGTGTTATTTGATCGGTCAATTTGGTTGTTAATGTTATCTGATCTACTAGTAACCAAACCAAATAAGGTTCGTTAAAAGTCTAATACCACTAGCTCCAATCATGAAATGTATCTGTTTTTCTATTCGTGTTATCTGAAATATGTGACATAACATATCATGTGATGACGACAAATTTCAGGGTTTTCAGTTTGTCGATGTGACTTTGTTTAAACCATGTCTCTATTAATCCCATGAGATCTTGGAGAACACTGAGGAATATTTGGAGATCAGCTGAGTCGAACTTTATAGAATTCAAGTAACAAACCTTTAAAAGGTTAGCTTACTGGGGTTTTTAGGGTTCCCATAAGTCAGTTTGAGTCCCTCTAAAACCACACAGAATATTCCTTGCTATTCTTCAATGCCTCATGAAATAAGTCGAAGTGCGTGCAAGCTGGTTTGAACACCTTCGATTAACAAAAAAGAAAGGTACGAGCATGAACTTGAAAATATAACAAGCGGAGTTTGAGTTTATAGTCGTGCTTTTTACTTGGTTGATGATTGTTTTCCAGTTCTTTCACGTTTCCTTGACAAAACTCGAATCTTCATTAAGTTGAATACGGACATGTATCAAGAAAACCCATTGAACTATTGAATCGAGTTGGAGTTTGGCCTAATTTCGTCAGGTCGACTTTGCTCTTCTTGGCTTATCGGGTAAGCACTTACCCGCATGATCACCACTCTCACTTGCCTTATGGAGTAACATTACTTGCCATCAAAATGGATAACCCGACAAACATTTATAACCCAGTAAGCACTTACCGGGTAAGAGTCATCACTCTCACTTACTGGGTAAGACTCTCGATTCTTGTCTTCCCTCTTACCGGGTAAGACTCTTGGTCCTTGTTATGTTCACCGATAAGACAATATACAAGGTAAGTGTATAGTAAACGGCCCCTTACTTAAATCTTTCAGTGAAGGCTTCAAATAAACCCAATGGATCTGTGGGAACGGTTGTTTTTCTCCTGTTGTTTTACCAGGTTTTGTCTTATCAAGTAATATTGTTGTGCATACGTTTTTCACTAATAACTTAGTTACTTTTCAGTTGAGTTTTAGGGGTCGTTTACCAAACACTTACCTGGGTAAACATTTACGAAGTCACATTACCTCACCGGATGAATATAGTAAAGACTAAGAATCTTACCCCGTAAAGGACCATGGACCATGAGTCTTACCCGGTAAGTGAAAGCGATGACTCTTACCACGGTAAGCGCTTACCGGGTGAATTGATGCATACAATGTCGTTTTGATTGACTAAAATCTTACCTTGTAAGTAAATAATAGTGTTATATTTTACCGGTAAGCACTTACCAGGTAAGTGTTTAGTAAACGGCCCCTAAAATCAAATTAATTAACACGATTAGTTACAAACACAGACAAAAGAAGTCAATATATGAAATGTTAATATTCAACTAATCATGTGTTGTTTCATATTATAAAACAATGTACGTGAAAGTACAGTGTTGTTTCACGATATGAAACAAAAAGTACACATTATAATTATTCACAATGCGAAACAATACAACATTTCCACATGTTTCGTTTCATTATATGAAACAATATAATAATTACTAGTTTTCACGATTCTCAACATTTTTGTGTTTCTTATTTGATTATTCCTGTTCAGGTTTTGTTCCGTAAACACATATATTTTTTAATGGAATTTCATCGAAATTGGTGTTTTTATTTAATAATAAAAAGAAAATGTGTTTGGCACATTTTTATAAAAAAAAAATGAAAATTTAGAATAAAATACAGAAACTAGGGGTGCTCAAAAACCCGACCAACCAAACCAATGCTAAATAATTTAACCTAAAGAAATCCTATGTCTAATCGAGTAGTAAAATTTTCAAACCGTAGGTATTGGGTTGATATTAGGTTGCTATTATTTGAACCCAACCCGATGAACCTGATATCCTTTTATTTCTTGGATTTAATATGATTGTTGAATTTCTATTAATATATATATTAGACAATTACACTATCACGTACGCTCTTCATATACACATATTTTTAATTTATTCACATCTTTATAGAACTCATTCGTATATATGTCTAGTAACTATGAACATATATATGTAAATTGAGAAAATTAACTGAATATGATATATGTTAGAAGTATGAATAAGTTGTATCAAATGGTTGATGATGAAAAAGAAATTATGAGTAGAGAAATAACATATTCAAGGTTAAGAGAATATTTTAATGTATCAAAGTATCAACCCGACCAACCCTTACGGTTTGGGTTGGGTTAAGATATTTCAAACTGCAAGTATTATGTTGGGTTATTCAAATGCCTTCAACCCGATCAACCCAATCCATGAACACCCCTAACAAAAACACATGATTTTTTATTATTTTAAAATCAGATACCTAACAAGAAATTTTTCATAAACTTTTTAACATCATCAATATTAATTTTACAATTTATTACTGTTGCCAATATATAGACACTACTGTTCATTTGTGATTTCAATACTAGACAGTACTGTAAACCCGTGACATATGGTTTCATTACCATTATACAGTGTAGGCTTGAGGTTTTAAAACACACCATTAATCCAATTCACTCTCATATTCTTGTATATCTCTTCATCTGCTACGATTTTCTAATGGATCCATCAAAGTCGCAATTCAACTGATTTTTCAATTTCTCTCGATCTTCATCCTACGATCCAAATAATGACCCATATGACGTAAATTCTCATATTCGAATGTACTCCCGATCCTAACTTTTCTATAACGAACCTCAACATTTTTCAATTATCAGTGTACTGAAATTCAAATTTCCCAAACTACCCTCTAAATATTTAAATGCCAATTTACCCAAATCCTATCAATACTCCTCAATTTCGAGAATTTTCTACACAGCCACATCTAGTGCAGGAGCAAGCAAGCGGTTCTAAAAACGAAAAAAAACCCGATGGACAACCAACGATGACATATTGTTGTGTAATGCTTTGCTCAACATAGGCAAACATGCAACAACTGGTACTGATTAAAGAAGCTAAATTTTTGGAACCGCGTAGTTGAATATTACAATGTGAATCCTAACACGAGTTCTTAAAAGAGTACGAAACGTCAAGCACTTCAGAATCGTTGTAGTAGATTCAATCATGTTGTTTCAAAGTTTGTTTGGTGTTACGAACAAATCCTACACTGTAGTGAAAGTGGGCTGAATGAATAAGAAAAAAAAAAAAAAAAAACAGAGCATTAGAGTATATCATTTGTTGGAAGGTTGACAATTTAGTTTCTTGCATGCTTGGGTTGAATTGCAGATACATGCAGACGTTGACATAGTAGAAGAGAACAAAAAATGATGGTTCGAGCCAATACACATCATCATCCTCAAATACAAACACAACGATCCCTGAGCTAACGTTGACTGCTCGTCCAAGAAATCTTTATTAACTAACTCTATCGACCATATCAACAAGGCGGTGAAAGAACAGTTCAATCTTGAGGCTGAAACAAGAGAAGCAGTGAAGAAATATACAGAAAAGCTATAAAAGAACGAGAGAGAAAAAGAAGAACGAGAGAAAAAAAAAAGGAAAAAAGAGAATAAAAGGCCAACTCAAAAAAGAAAGAATCGACAATCAAGTTGATGGAAATGGACCCATCAACTATGACAAGCAACAGTAAGAATCGTACGGTAAAAGAATTCGACAACTTTTAGATGGATAAAGATGTAATTGTAGTCGTGTTGCTTTATTAATCGTGCGTATTGGATTATATTATATGTCTTAGGAGTTGTTTGCTTACCTCTTAATAGTTTCATTAAGAGGCAATATTTGAATCGTTAAGAAGTAAATCGTGTTTGACAAAAAAATGTATGTCTATTAATGGTTCTAAAGTCCTCTGAATGATTTTGCATCATAGGGCTCACTTAACCATTAAGCGCCCTAATTTTATTATAAACAATTACCAAACAATTATATTTCATTTTACATTATATCATGAGAGTCTTTTAATCATTCTGATCACTTAATCATTTTGCACTAAACCATTCAGCAACTGCCAAACAACTTCTTAATATGTATAATTGTAATTTTAGGTAATTATAAAATTCAATATTTAAATTAATTTAACTATATTGTATTTATATTTTATTTAAAAAATAATATATATACATAAGTAGAATATTTCTTAAACAAGATTAATTAATTTAATTAAAAAAAATAAAATACAATGATTTATTCATTTAAGTATATTATTTATATAAAAAAATTAATTTATTTGAACAGTTATAAAAAAGGTGGTAATGTGAGTCACGTGGTTTGCAATATTTATAAGTATCAATCCTAAACTATAACGCAGTGTCTTATTGGTTTGAGTTTAACTTCAAATGTCAAAAATGTCTAAAGGTCACATGTTTAAATCCAATAAGAAACAAAAATCCCCTTGTGACTACGAATGTTCAAATGCGGTGATTCCGGACTACTTGCAAAGCAGGTGGTCGCCTGAGATTAGTCGGCTCGCATAACAAGTTGTATATCGAGGTTAATAAAAAAATGTCAATCGTATGTGAGATCAAAAATTGATTTTACGAGGAAGTCTATTTGCAATGCGTGTATGGATGCTCTTAGGGGAAAAATATGTCTCTCATGCGAGTTTTCCAATGTAATAAGCAAAATTTATATGTTCTAGTTTTCTTATTTTAATCATGTTTTTATTTGAATCCAAGTTTTTCTCTCTCTCTTTATATGTATATATTAGAGACATGATCAAACGAGTACATTACATATTTAAAAGAACACGAAAACAGACAAATCACGTTATTTTACATTAGTGATTAAAAAAAGTGTCCATGCAACTTGTGCCTCCGTCCTTAGGTCGCCGGGAAAAGTATGTGATGCTAGTGTAAAATCACATGTGATTCGTCAGTTTTTATGTTCTTTTAAATAAGTACCGTTCTCGTTTGATCCTCCATATATATATATATATATATATGTGTGTGTGTGTGTGTGTACATATATAGAGTTTGTTTCAAATGCAACTCATCACATTTGTACAACCATTGCAACCTAATAAATTGAAATATTTATGGAAATGATGAGAGTTTATTTATTATGATTTAAATATTTATGGAAGATGAATAAGGTACATTAATTATGATTAATATTTTATGTTAGGAAACGATCAAAACTTCTATGAAATTACATATTCATCAAATATTAGATTGAGTTGTATTGGTTGTACAAATGTAAGGGGCTACATAATAAACTCATCTGTATGTATGTATGTATGTGTATATATATATATATATATATATATATATATATATATATGTAGAGAAGCGTTCAAATAAAAACCACTCAATTTGTAAAAACCGTGAAAACTTCATTCAACCAATCATAATTTTTCATTTTGTTTATTTTTTTGTAATTATGAGAGGTTGATTAACCATTTTTATTGTGGAGGGCGTTAATCATGGATATTATCATATTCATTATTTTAATTTTAGATAAATACATGAAACAGTTTTATTAAAATTTCATTAGATATTATATGAAACAATTTCATAACCATTTATGAAACAAATTCATCAAAAAAGTATTCTATGAAATAATTTCATGAAAAAATTTCATAAGATTAAACAATGAAATCGACGTATGAGGGTGGTTTGTACGGTTTTTACAAATGATGGTGGTTTTCATTTGATCGATCGCTCATCTACTCCGTATATTCGCAGGGACATTTCTTATAATCTGAAAAGGCATTAGACCTCCGGTTCAACACAATGTTTTGGGAAGTCGAAAGATGGTTACAAAACTGGAGTAGGAAAAGAAATGCTACAATTTCACACAGGAATCCACTCAAAACATCATTTTCTATCTAGTTTTCATCAAATTATGCCATTTTCAACCATCCTACAGTGTAACGTCAAAAAATGGAAACATTTCTAACATCTCTCGACATCGCCCGTGAGACATGTTACTTCAAACGAGCATAATTGGGTCGAGGGAGACGATCGTGCGGGATTCTGCTCGTCATCTTCCAACGAAAACTTCAGGAAACAAAGTTAACATGCATTTCTTCTCCTACTTCAGAAAATATATCTCCCACCCTATGTGCAGGATACCGAGAACACAAAAATATTAAAGACGAAAACGTTTTAGCATTACCATTGGTCAAACCAAACGTACCCAGAAAATCCTACTCGAGAGTAGGGTCCACGGACCTTTTTGTTTCATCTACCTTGCTTTCAAACTTATGTAGAACTTGCAACTTCTTTTCACAAAATCCCTTTTTCTCAAAGCTTTTCATGGGAACATCTCTATTCCTAGGGGTGGATGTAAGATTTGCAATAAGCATACCCGCCCCAGGCCCTACCTCGTGGTGGATTTACTGGGTTTGTTTGGTTTAAGTAGGGTCCACGGAGGGTAAAACGTATGCAAATTATGTCTCCTCCTCCACCCCTAGGGGTAGAGAAGTTGTTTCTTGAAGACCCCGGCTTGCAAAAAATTTAGTTAGAACAATGATGTTATATTGACCTCTACTACATGACGTGTGGGGTCTAAGTATTGATTTGAATTTCGGCTATGGCAAAGGTTCAGCTTCGATTCCAAGAAACGTATGCTAGATAAACCATATTACCTAATATTTCAATATCGTTTATCTTGTGCTCCCTCTATCCTCCAAATAAATGCACCATTTCCTTTTTTGGTAAGTTTTCGATCCAGACTAACTTTTTTATCCATTAGCCAATCACTACTTTATATTTACTGTGCAGGAGTTGAACAAATATGTTTGTTTCTTTCTTCGTATTTTTACCAATAAAAGATAGGGGTTAGGTTCCGATCAGAAGGAGAGCTAAGAGGAGAAGCGTAAGAAGGGATCTCCACCCTTAGATGCACCGGATCAATCCCCGTATCAAGCCCAATTCATGGGTGGGTTTGAGATTAAAGGTGATCAAGAGTCCAGATCCCTTCTTACGCTTCTTACCTTAACTTTCCTTCTCACACGATCCTTCGCCTAAAAGATAGTTTCAAGATTCCATTAATATATGAGGATTTCCCGGTACCTGTTTTTGTCTATATTGACGTCTGTCAACCAAGCTGTTAAATAAACCTGCAAAATAACACAAAAGAAGTTCAAATGAGAGAGCAAATGGATCAAGCAGAAACCAACTTTCAAATTAATACAAATGGAAGCAAATTGCAGATGACCCTTTGGACAGTTGGAACTAGGAACTTGGAATACTGAGAGTAATCTGTTTTGAGGGTTATATTATATTGATACCAACTTGTAACACCCTAATCTTTAGGTTATAATTTCTAGCAAAATTTCGGCATGACACATTTGTAAATTCATGTTTTGCCATTTTTCTAGCCTGTCCACATGCATATGTATGCAAAAGCCACATATTTGGGATGTTATATTTACATACTACTAATGACAAAGATTATGCTCATACAGTTTCCACCGGAACAATAGTTGCAACTAAAGCATCATCTAAAAGAGTTCACTCGTTACATCATCCCATGATATCATGTACTAGTTTTTTTTTTTTTTTTTTAACTTACCACTACTACCGCCTGCACTTGGTCCTGAGATACAAGTCCACAAATAAAAACAAACCAGGCGTACTGAGGGACTATTTGTTAGCAGCTTAATGAGCTTAATGGGACTCACAGCTTATTCAGTCAGACTATTGGTAGTGGCTTAATGATATGGAAAGTGGCTTATTCAGTAAGCCTCTAAAAAGAGCTTAATGCAGAAAGCCAAGTTTTTTCCAAACCTTCCTTCCCAATTAAAAAAAAATGCTCGTTCCATCTATGAAAAAACCCTCCCAAACAAAAAACTTCCCGATCTATACAGACAGATTAATCCACGTAAAGAGTTTTATCCATACAAGACCTGATGAAAAACCATCCAAAGAGCTCCTAAGTCGTGCTTTCGAGTTCCATACCTGTAAGATATCAGAATCCGGTTGGCAATTGGATTCCACAGGAGCGTTAGATATATGAGCATATAACTTCTGAGGGGCTGATTCAGAAGCTTCATTACAATCCAAATCGCACCTACTTAAATTATCGAATTCCCCTTCATAAATTTCATCCGACCAACAGAGTCTTTTGATGATTGGATCTTCATTACTTCTAAGCGAGAGAAACTCTATCACAAGTAATCGCTGCACTTTCGTACTCAAACCACATGATATAAATCATATAAGCTACGTATTCTAACAAATGTTTATAGATAAACATATCTTGCAGTAGTTAAAACACATTCAAAATGTACCTTCAAATATAGTTCCAATTTGAACATCTGAACCAGTTCCGAAGCTGATTTCTCTAGCATCATTATAAACGAAAATCAGTGTTAAAAGAAGACGAAGATTTTGTCAGAACGATATAAAATTAATTTCAGATCAGATATCACCAAGGTTCTAAATGGCATGAGCCGTGTCATGGCATCAAGGTCAAGCCTCAAGCCTTACATGCCACAACGAGGATGCGGCGTTTTCAAAAGCATGGCATAAGGCGGAAAATTTGCATGTCATATATAATTATAAATATACAATAATACATATGTATTTTCTATTTAGTATTCAATGATATGATGATATTTAAAAAATCATACATCCTGGTATTATATGAAGAGTCTGTGATCAAATATTCAAGATAAAACTTGGAAGGGTTTTACAACTTCGTTTAAATAGTGAATCCGCGAGGACCGTGAAACTGTGTCTGTGAGTGATGCGATTATGTGAATCCGTGAAACTGTGAGTGATGCGATTATGTAAATCTATAAAAGTGTAAAATCTAAACTTCAAAGTAAAAATACAAAAGTTAAAAAATTTAAAACTAAAAGAACTGAAAAAGATCACACCTCATAATAAATGACACCGCCATGGCGTAAGTCATGCCTTACTCAAACGCTATAGGCCTTATAGTAACAACGGAGACACGTCTTATGCCATGGCGTGCCTTTTAGAACCCTGGATGTCACACAACAACACAACCAAGTATAGATCCTATACATCAGAAGATCATCAGACCCACCCACGTTCCAATAATGAAAGAAGGTGGGTCGATAAGAGAAGAAAAATAACACATAGAACGAGTAGAACTGAAACGAGAATACCGACCAATACATAACTGTCAAAAAGAATCATCGTACATGACCTTTATGTGTATTCTTGTAACATCCCAGGCCAACCGTACCAGATATCGCCGCTTTGTCCACACACTTGGACTCACGGTTCTGAAATGCATCTGGTAGAGGAGGTATTCCCCTCCCCAACTAATATGGGATCTTACAATCCACCCCCTTGGGAGCCCAGTGTCCTCGCTGGCACACTAGTCCGGTTCCCAGCTCCGATACCATTTGTAACAATTCTACAAAAGGACAATAGTGACATACCAAAAGAAGATATAGACCAAAAGGTAAAGACGGGTATCCCTCCACCATCACCGTTGTCATTTATGTCCTCAGAACTGTTAGAGAATTGTATAAGGGGACTACTGGTTCCCCCCTTAAGAAAACATCTCAGAGACGTACTTATGTTGACCATGTTAACTACTGTAGCCACCTGCAGATTATAATACAAATGAGTACAATACTCTTTAAACAATCCCTGTTGAAGACCTAACTGAAAGTGATTAAAAAAGAAAAATAGAGAGCTAAATCATGGAGCATAATTAGGACATGGAAGCCGAATGCATGCTCACTGCTACGGTTCAGAATGGTGTGAGGCGTGGCGTGGCGTGGCGGCAAGGTCAAGCCCTAACACACCACGGCAAGGACGCGGCGTATTTCAAGGAGTGACATGAGGCGACAAATTTGTATGTCATATACAGAATTATACGTATATACATATGTTTTCTATATATTATTCAATCAACTAATGATATTAGAAATTTTTTACATTCATATTAGGAGAAAAATCATATCGATTATTATTGTAAATATAGTCTTTGATTAAGTATTCAAAGTAGAATTTAGAAGGGTAATTTTACAACTTTTTAATTGTGAGTTTGTGACATGTATGAATTTGTGAAATTGTTAGTGATGTGATTAGATAAATATATAGAAGTGTAAAACCTAAAGTTAAAAGTGTAAAAACACAAAAACTAAAAAAATAATTATTTTTGAAAAAGTCACGAAATATAAAAAATGCATGCCATGGCCACGCCTTACATAAAAGTTATAGGCTTTATCATAACGACATAGAGGCGTCTTACGCCTATCTGTCAATTGTTTTTTCTTCATTCTTAAATAGACACGAAACTTACTATTTCTAATTTTCTGTCCACAATATGATTGAAATGATTACACGGGATAAGAAACTCAGTAGAGTTTAGAACCTCAAGCATCTTATAATCCTACTGAAAGGTTAAATGGGAAATTCCCAACTCGTGTATATTTACACCCCTTTAACTTTAGCAGCACAAAAGACTTCACAATATGCACATCAGGTATGTCTAAGAAGAAGAAGCTATTATTCTCTGCTGATTAATTCTAATTGATTTTTATTTCTGTTATCCAACTTCTTTTGTTTAAATTGATCTAGTGATTCTTGTACAAGCCATATGTAAAGAATAACTTTTATATTAAACAGACAGTTCCAACTTCCAAGGCTTGAAGTCCATATTGTGTGTTGATGAACACCTTTGGTGTAAGATCTCACATCCATTGGGTAGGGCAAGAAAGGGACCAGATACTTCCTCTATCAGATGCATTTTAAAACCGTGAGTCCAGGTGTGCACAAAGCGGACAATATCTACTACGGCTAGTCTAGGATGTTACAAATGGTATCAGAGTCCGGAACCAGACTGGTGCGCTAGTGAGAACGCTAGTGAGAACGTTGGGATCCCAAGGGGAGTGGATTGTAAGATCCCCCATCGGTTGGGGAATGAACAAAAGTTTCCTTATAAACGGATACCTCCTCTATCAGACGCGTTTTAAAACCATGAGTCCAAGTGTGGACAAAGCCGACAATATCTGGTACGGTTAGTCTGGGATGATGCATTTGGTGCTTGCACTTGCCCATCCACCAGAATTCATCAACACTTTCCCTAACATACAAACGAGGTCAAAGAATACAGCGTAATAAACTACCAGTAGTTACATATCTCTATTCAGCTTTTAAAATGCTTTGATTAGCCTACTTCCTATTCCCAAGGGAAAATGTGCTTTGATAAGCCTGCTTCCTATAAAGTGGTCTATTCGATGCCCCTGCATACAGCCATCAATGCAGAAGATACACACAAATACATATGTAGGTATGTACGTATATTTATACATATGTGTGTGTGGGTATATGCTTATATGTATGCATATACAATGCATTTGTATCTAATCTTTGTTGGTTTTGGTTCTTGCTTTCATTTGATTGATTTATGTTTACCATGTTTAGCAATGGAAGCTGAATTCTACTCTGACATAGTAACATAATAGATGTTTATGAAGTGCACCTACCATGTCTTTGTACGAAGACACGAGTTTATCATGATGAAGAACCTACAAGAAACAAGCATAACATTAGGTTGGATCCAAAATATAGAACACATAAAATATATGATAATGGTAATACCAAAATCATCAAGATGTTACTAATGGAACTTCTCGATTTGGGATTAAAACCGAAGCTCCATTCTTTGAATTTAAGATGATCATGCTTCAATCTCCAATTCCAAGTAATGGAACTTATCGGCCCAAAGATACCTTAGGAATATCCAAAATTGAGTCTACTATGCGTACAGACAAGATCAAGAAAGAGCTAGCGTTACATGGAATTGTTCAGATACTCTACTTGGGTTACAGTCAGGAGCACAGGCCCTAGTAGGTCCTGTGCACCCACTCTTGTAAATGTGTTTGAAACACACCCCAAGAATCCGAGTAAATAATAATATTAGTTTGACGCGGAATGGAATTAATATTTTAATTAAGCGTAATTAATCACGAACGAAAAGAAACGAGACAATAAGTAAAATAGACACAAGGAATTACGTGGAAACCCAAATCGGGAAAAACCACGGGCGGAGGAAGCCGAGAACCAATTCACTATATGTTGAAGTGTTTACAAGGTTGGAATAGAAAAATACAATACAAAGGATTTTGTATGTATGTATTTTTTGTGAAAGAATGTGTTTTTGGGGGTGATACACAAATAAAGAATCAACTCTCCTTTTATAGGCACATTTTAGTTGTGAAAGCATGCAACCATAATTCTTCAAAGTTAGGCACCGTATTCCAATTATCCATGTGGCCACTATATTTGACTTTGTATGCAGCCTTCTTTGCATTTGCAGTAGATTTCTTTGACATATTGAAAGCATGTTCACAATCTCCACCTTGATTTCAAAATGCAGAGAAATGATCAACTCATCAAAATTTCCCAAATTCCATAAGATCCTGCAATCACCATATAGAGAAAAAATTGATTCCGAAAAGTTAAAATACTTCCTCCACCTCGAGCCTTTCAGGCTCAACTGCGATCAGAAACACCCACCAAGTCCAAACATAATTTAAACTTGGCTATAGGAAGACTTTTAGTGAACATATCAGCGGGATTRTAATCTGTATGAATTTTATCCACGACACAATCACCTTTTTCAATGATATCCCGCACAAAATGATAACGAATATCAATATGCTTTGTTCGGTCATGAAACATTTGATCTTTACTCAAGAAGATAGCACTCTGGTTGTCACAGAAAACTGTGGTCACCTCTATTCTATCGTCGAGTTCTCCAAATAATCCCTTCAACCAGATATCTTCCTTAACTGCTTCTGTAATCGCCATGTATTCTGCCTCAGTAGAAGACAGTGCAACTGTAGACTGCAACTGGGCTTTCCAACTAATAGCACAACCATTTAGAGTAAACACATACCCTGTAATTGATCTTCGTTTATCCAAATCTTTGCCATAATCTGAATCAACATATCCAAACACCCCAGTGTTAGATTTACCAAAGTGTAAACACATAGAAGACGTACCGCGCAAATAACGAAAAATCCACTGCACTGCTTTCCAATGTTCTTTCCCCGGGTTCGCCATGTATCTACTAACCATGCTAACAGCATAAGCCAAATCAGGACGCGTACAGATCATAGCATACATCAAAGATCCAACAGCACTAGAGTATGGAACACGTGCCATGTAAGCCATATCAGTCTCAGTAGTAGGACTCAAAGCGGATGATAGCTTGAAATGAGCTCCAAAARGTGTGTTAACAGGCTTTGCTTCATGCATACTGAAGCGTCTTAGGACTTTCTCAATATAACCTTTTTGAGAAAGATGTAAGACCCTAGACTTCCTGTTACGAACAATTTCCATACCTAAAATCTTTTTGGCAGCTCCTTAAGTCCTTCATTTCAAAATCAGCTTTCAACTGGTCTTTTAACTTCTRAATCTCCTTCATATCTTTTGCTGCGATTAACATGTCATCCACGTACAAGAGCAGGTAGATCTTTGAACCATCGTCACCGGTTTTGTAATAAACGCAACTATCATAGGTGCACCTGCTGAATTTGTGACTGGTCATGAAAGAATCGAACCTCTTGTACCATTGTCTAGGAGACTGCTTGAGGCCATAGAGAGATTTCTTTAATTTGCATACGTAGTCCTCCTTGCCAGGGACTACAAAACCTTCAGGTTGTTGCATGAAAATCTCTTCCTCAAGCTCACCATTTAAGAAAGCTGTAGTAACGTCTAGTTGCTCCAATTCGTAATCATTAGAAGCAACTAACCCCAAMAATGCACGGATAGAAGTGTGTTTGACAACTGGGGAGTAAATGTCAGTATAATCAATGCCTGGGATCTGACTGTAGCCTTTAGCTACCAATCGAGCCTTGTACCTTGGTTTCTCTTTCGGGCTGACAGGTTCTTTGATCTTGTAGACCCACTTGCATTTGACTGGTCTTTTACCTTTTGGAATAGGAACTATCTCCCAAGTACCATTTCTTTGCAGGGATTCCATCTCACTTTGCATAGCGATCATCCAATCACTTGAGTCTTCAGATTTGATAGCCTCGTCATAATTTGCAGGCTCCATTCCGGACTCAATGTTATCAGCAACAATAAGAGCATAAGCAACCAAATCAGCTTCAACATACTTCTTTGGAGGAACAATCTGTCTTCTCGGTCTATCTCTTGCAATACTTGGAGTAGTAGCTTGTGGTTGTGAAGGTGTTGGATCCTCACCAACAACATGCTCATCCGATGAAGAATAATCTTGATGCTGATTTGGACTCTGATTAGTGGTAGGTGAAGTAGGAAGCTCCACCTCCATTTTAGCTTTCTCTTTACTTGCTTCAGATAATGCTTCTGTACTTTTAGAAGGGTCGGCAATTGGTTGAATCATTGCAGACTCATCAAAAGTAACATCTCTTGAGATGATAACTTTCTTTAGATCAAAGCTCCACAACTTGTAACCTTTTACACCCGGATTATACCCAAGAAAGACACATTTAAGTGCCCTTGGCTCTAACTTCCCGTTGTCAACTCGTGCATACGTTGGACACCCAAACGGTTTCAAATCTGAATAATCGGCAGGTTTACCGGACCATAACTCAAACGGGGTTTTCTTCTCAATTGTCGTGACGGTGATCGGTTAATAACATAACAAGCAGTCGAAGCAGCCTCAGCCCAAAAAGACTTTGGTAACTTGGAATTAGACAGCATACAACGGACCTTCTCCATAATGGTGCGATTCATCCTTTCGGCTACACCATTTTGTTGAGGTGTATGGACTACTGTGCGATGACGAGTAATGCCTTCTTTTCGGCAGTAGGCATTGAACTCTTCTGAGCAGAACTCCAGTCCATTATCCGTACGCAGATACTTTACCGTCAAAYCTGACTGCTTTTCAACATGAACTTTCCAATCTCTGAAAGTAGAGAAAACGTCTCCCTTATGCTTTAGAAAGAAACACCACACCTTTCTTGAGAAATCATCTATAATAGTGAGCATATATATAGCTCCACCTTTCGAAGCAACTCGAGYTGGTCCCCATAAATCCGAGTGAACATAATCGAGTGGCCCTTTCGTCGTGTGAATGCCACTCATAAATCGCACTCGTTTTGCCTTGCCGTAAATACAATCTTCACAGAATTCTAATTCTACCACCTTCTRATTACCAAGTAAACCTCTTCGACTCAATTCTGACATGCCTTGAAAACTCATGTGGCCGAGTCGAAGGTGCCAAAGACGGGACTGATCTGGTTCTGAGAGTGACTTTGAAGCGACAGCAACATCACTYGAAATTGTTTGCCCTTCGAGAAAGTAAAGATCTGAGGTTTTTCGTCTGGCCCTCAGTGAGTCAGAGTCATTTTTGAAAACTCTGAGAACTCCAGCTTTACCGGCAAACTCATAACCCTTTTTATCAAAGGTGCTGAGTGATAACAAATTTCTTCTAAGGTCAGGGACGTATCGAACATCCCCAATGGTTCGGATGACTCCATCATACATTCGGATTCTGACAGAACCRTGTCCAACAACTGGACATGTAGAGTTGTTGCCCATCAAAACATAACCATGGTTAACCTTTTCAAATGTGTAAAACCAACTTCTGTTGTGACACATATGAAAAGTACAACCAGAGTCGAGAATCCATTCATCAGAAGAATCCAGTTCATCTGAATAAACTGTTAGAAGTTCTCCAATACAACCGGCCTCTGCTACATCAGCTTCAGCCGAAGTACTTGCCTTTTTGYTGTCTGCCAACCTCTCCTTGTTTTTCAGTTTAAAACATTCGTCGATAATATGTCCCTTTTTGTGGCAATAGTTGCAAAACTTCTGYTTGCCTTTAGACTTGGATCTGCCTCGTTGGAAGTTTTTACCTTTGTCCGTTGTTCTGCCTCTGGCATTTAATCCTTCGGCCTTTGTTTCTGTTCCACCTGTAATCTGCWTCATYTTCTCCTTAGAGTCTAAGGCTGTAAGAACTTCATCTAACACAAGAGTGTCGCGGCTATAGATGATAGTATCCCGAAAATGGCTGTAGGATTCGGGCAATGATGACAACAAGAATAAAGCCAAATCTTCATCCTCGTACTGGACATCCATGTTCTCCAAGTTATTTACTAACTCTTTGAACATGGAAATGTGATCGGACAGAGAGCCACCTTCCATCATCTTGAGATTAAACAGTCGCTGCTTCAGATGCAGCTTGTTGGGTAGGCTCTTCGTCATTAGTAACTGCTCCAATTTCAGCCATAGTGAAGCCGCAGAAGTTTCCTTCAGAACATCTTGCAATACATYGTTAGATAGATGTAAGCGGATTTGAGATAAAGCCTTCAGACCACGCATCTCCTTTTCTTCGTTTGTCCATGATGCGGGCATTTTGTCAACGCCCARCAACGCCTGATGTAGATCCATCTGGATGAGAACATCCCTCATCTTGACTTGCCATAAAGGGAATCTGGTGTTTCGATCCAGTAACGGGATATCGAACTTCATCGAAGACATGATTAAACGCTTAAAATAATAATTCCAACAAACTAATATTAAAACCCGGATGCTCTGATACCAATTGTTGTAAATGTGTTTGAAACACACCCCAAGAATCCGAGTAAATAATAATATTAGTTTGACGCGGAATGGAATTAATATTTTAATTAAGCGTAATTAATCACGAACGAAAAGAAACGAGACAATAAGTAAAATAGACACAAGGAATTACGTGGAAACCCAAATCGGGAAAAACCACGGGCGGAGGAAGCCGAGAACCAATTCACTATATGTTGAAGTGTTTACAAGGTTGGAATAGAAAAATACAATACAAAGGATTTTGTATGTATGTATTTTTTGTGAAAGAATGTGTTTTTGGGGGTGATACACAAATAAAGAATCAACTCTCCTTTTATAGGCACATTTTAGTTGTGAAAGCATGCAACCATAATTCTTCAAAGTTAGGCACCGTATTCCAATTATCCATGTGGCCACTATATTTGACTTTGTATGCAGCCTTCTTTGCATTTGCAGTAGATTTCTTTGACATATTGAAAGCATGTTCACACCCACTCAATTGATTTTCACAAGTAGAATTTCTTTTTGGGTGTGAAAGGCGTACACGCTAAATTTTGAGGGGTTATCCGGGATATTAGAAAATAAAAGGGACATAACCAAAAAACTTAAACTTAAGATCACCAAAGACCCTAAGAAAATCCCTCAAAATCACCAAAGAACTTACAAAATCCCTCGAAATCACCAAAAAAACTTAAAAATCCTCGAAATCAACTAAAAAACTTAAAAAATAACCCTTCAAATGGTGGAATTCAGCTAAAAAGACATTGGGCAACTTCGTGGTCCTTTGATCCACCTAAAGGTGCACCGCTCGGCAAAAATCCTAGGACCGCGGCTGGTTATGGTTACAAGTTCACATGCTACTACACAACATAAAGAACACAACTGGAACCAACAGGTAAAAATACAATCAATCACCTGTTGCTTTAATAACTTCCAGCAAGCTTTTTTCTGAATGTCAGGCATATCACTCAAAACACCCAACTCCATATCCTTCATGTACCTGTAGCAAACAACCCTCAAGAAATGAAATCCATAAATAGCATATCAAAGGGCAAAGACCCCCATTGGGACATCATATGGCATAACTAGAAATCGAAATGTGGATATGTAATTAAAAACTATAACTGATTATGAACATTCCTATACACAGGCAATCTCTAAGTACCCTTTTCACATGAGCAGATACGGAGATCATGATATCCTGGTAGTAGAAAGTTTTGAAACTTGTAAACATATAACCTTATTCTCATGAGCTGTCATAAACGTGTATTAATCGATATTGCATGTAAGGTGTTTGAGAAAATGCCTCTGAGAAAGATAAGCATTGACGATGGAAGTGGAGTGTGATCTCGCAGTTGAAGATGAAGAGAACCATTCTTGTCTGAGCGAATTCAATCTAGACCATTGGTTTTTCATATTTCTCTGTGCTGCAGGTCTCCATAGTCGGCTTACCGAAGATGGTGAAGATTTGGCTTCAGAATTCTGAACGCTTTGGTGGGTTGTTTCAGATAAAGAAAGAGAAGAAACTCTTGATTCCATTTCAGTATTCGATCTTTCAATTCATTCACTGGATTTCTGTTCTGAAACCAAATATGACACGAAGAATGTTTTGCTGAGCAAACTATTCAAAATAGCAGCGGCACTGTTGGAAGCCCAAACACGAAGAATGTTTTGCTGAGCAAACTATTAAATTTAGAGTAAATTACATGATTGGTCCCTGTAGTTTACACAAGTTCACATAGTGTGTCCCCAAATTAAAATAATTATGAAAATCATCCCTATGGTTTATATTTTCTTATGTCTTTAGTCCCTTGCTCTAACATCCTTAAATGGTTCTATCAACTCAGTTAGTTTAGAAGGATATTTTAATTATTTTAGTAATTTAATTTACTTTTTATTTTCTAATAAAACAACAGGGACCAAGAATGTAAATCTACTTTTTATTAAAGGCACGTGAGACCAAGAATGTAATTTACTCTATCAAATATATATATATATATATATATATATATATATATATATGGGCTATTCAAGGGAGAACTGAGTTGTTTATGGTAACTGTGAGAACCAATATTAACCACAAATCAATAGATAAATTAGGAAATTTATAAATTTGGTAATTTTAAATTAAAATCTTAATGCAATGATATTTTTGGTATTTTAAAACTCTCATCTCTCCTCTCTCCTCTCTTCTCTCTCCGGCCACCGTTCTCCGGCTTCTGGTCACCGTCCTCCGGTAATACCACTATGATACCACTGTGATACCTAAAAATATTGACTCTGTTAAACAAAAGATACATTGTGATACCTAATCATATATAAGATGCATAGTGATACCACTGTGTTACATCTTCGATCGACCACACAAACGACATCAATGTAATACCCAAGCACATATATGATGCATTGTGATACCATTGTAGTATCACCGGAGGACGGTGGCCGGAGGACGGTGGCCGGAGAGAGAAGAGAGGAGGGAGGAAAGTTTTAAAATACCAAAAATATCCTTGCATTAATATTTTAATTCAAAATTGCCAAAATTATAAATTTCCTAATTTATCTATTGATTTGTGGTTAATATTGGTTCTCACAGTTACCACAAACTAATTAGTTCTCATTTGATTAGGCCTATATATATATATATATACTAGTTGTGTACCTGCATAATACGACGAAATATAAATTTTATTTAAATGTAAGCGAGAATATCGATTGACAATTACAACAAATAAACACATTGTCATAGAAAAACCAAGTCAAAAGGAAAACTTTTGTCCTTTCAGTTTGAATACGAATATGTTATTTTGAATGAATATTATATGAACTGGAATTGTTGGATTACAATATTCTCTTTGTTGTAACATTTGTTGTCCCTAGATTTTAAATACAAACATAGGCATGGTGGTTTTTTGCCTACACTTGTAATTTACAAAATGACATTCGAAATTATGTTTGAATAAACTGGAAAATAAGATCATCTGTAAGAAATTCATTGAGATATTGTTCGAAACGTTCATATAGAGAGTGAGTGAGAGAGCGATGAAGAAGGTAGTCGACGATTTGATAGGAATCGTGGAGACTAAAAGTGAGTCCGCCACAGAAACTCAATCGTAAGAGCTAGAAGAGGAAACTTTGGGAGCTGAATCATCATTATTTGGAGCAGAAATTATCAATCTAGGAACATAAGGTCTTTGAATTTTGAATTTTGGAAAAATCTAGGTTTTGGTCAATGGGTTTTCTAAAAGGAAACTGAAAACTCTGGAGGAGATAAAAAATATTGTGAACATACCAAACTTGGTTTTTAAAGATTGTTTTAAAACCATGCATTAACACCTTGTACATCATGCTTTACATATTGTAATTAAGAGATTTCTTTAATTCATGCATAAAATGCTAGTACTTTATGTTTTACTAGAAGAGTACTCGTGCAATGCATCAAGACACATTTTCATTGCAATGTTTCGTTTTATTTTTTATCCATGTCGATATAATACGATTTTATGTGGTTTTGAGAAAGCGATAATGTTCTTATTTTTTAATAAAATATAAATTTGAAAATGTTATATAAAATTTGCAAAACATATATCAATATTAGTACAAATTAACTATTTAAAAGTTTTTATTTGTATATTTTTTTAATTCAATTTTTTATTATAATTTAATTTAACGTAACGAAGTAACTTAATTTAGGTTTAATAATATATTTTTTTCATAAAGATAATAATTAAGTATTCTGTTAAAACTCAATAATTATTCTAATTATATTTTAAAATGAGATGTTTATCCTTTATTTGATTATGTTTATCCACAGTTAGTTACACTATTTCAAACATAAAGCTTTAATAAGTTGTACTTATGCACAGTTTACTTGTAATTTTGAATTTTCAAGTAATATGAATCAATAAACAGTACTTAATACATAAAAAAATGGTTTTTAAAAGTTCTTATCAAATGCTTTATAATATAGTATAGATTAGTTATACTTAAGACTTTGATGTAAATGCTTATTAATGTAGTATTGATATAGATACCCACATTGACCATGTCCCTCCTCCCTCCCATCTTCATGTCCCCCACCCTTATCCCACATGAACCTTCGTCGACTTTCTGCATTCCGGCCACCGTTGCAGACCCTACTTCGGTAAACCATGCCCACCATATAGCAGAACTTTCACCACCGTGTCCCCAGTTCCATCTCCTCCCCCATTGTTTAGATTTGTTTGTGTGTCTATATATATGTATATGTGTGTGTCTATATATATATATATATGTGTGTGTGTGTGTGTGTATGTGTGGAGGGAGGGATTTAAAAGATGAAAGTTGCAGGTGTTAGTGGGTAGTGTTGTATGTGTATGGTTCACTGGCGAAGACCATGCCGGAGACGGAGATGGAAGTCGAAACAGTGAAGAAAAAGCTTCGAAGGTCACCATTATCGATCTCCAAAAAAGCTCCGAAAGTTGAAATGGTGAAGAAAAATTTCGATATTGATCGGTGGTAGAACCTGCAAAAACTCTTGATAGAAAGGACCTGAAAAAATGGTTAAAACTTGCAAATCGATCAAAACCCTTTGATTAAAACTAGGGGTGTTCCATCTCCATCAAAACCTGCAAATGGTGGTGGTGGGAGGTGTGTGATGGTGATTGAAAGGAGGTGAGGGAAGCTTTGGTGAAGAGGGGTGTGTGTGTGTATATATATATATATATATATATATATATATGTATACATATATATATAGAGAGAGAGAGGGGGTGTGGAGGTTTAAACGAGAACACTTTCATTTTACAAGAACATGAGAACATCCTTATCACATGTGCTAATACACTTGAGGGGACTTGGTGGTGATAACAGTGTGAGAGTAAAGTGATCAAAGGCATGTGAAAATGTAAACCATAGGGACGTTGTCCATAATTATTTTGATTGAGGGACATACAGCGAAGAAGTAGACATGGTACGAACGGGATTGAGAAGGAGCTCTTCCCTTTGTGTGGTGTATTATAGCACAGTCTGTGACTATGTTTTTCCGTTGGTTGATGTTGCGTATTGCACACTTGTTATATTTGTTTATATAGTRTTAGTTCTATAACGAATTTCAAGCGCCTATGAATTAGTTCCAAGAAAGCGGCCGTTCACGTCAGGAATCAAGGTTTTAGTGTAAACCATAAAGACCAATCATGAAATTTACTCTAAATTTTATAAACCATAAAGTGAATTACACTGGTAGTCTCTACGGTTTGCTTAGATTTTATATTTGGTCCCTAAAATAAACTATTTGATGGTCCCCAACTTTTCAATTTCATAACACTAAAGATCTTAGAGTTACTACTGTCAGCTGACAACCGTTGGGAAAGACAAATCAGCCTTGGACAAAGTACAAGGACCAAAAGCGTAATTCACTCTAAATTCACATTTAAAAAAATATCAATAATATTTTAATTACGGTTAAAAACTGATCACTATATCAATTTCATTGTTGTATCTTATTTATAAATATCTGGTAATTCAATTTAATAATGTTTTAACTTTTTAAATGTAATTATTTTATTCATAACAAAAAAATATATTTACCCTACAGATTTTTTTTAATTATATATATAAAGAGAGAGGGGGGGATGAGTTATTATACAAACTTTTACATTTGTACAACCAATACAACTCAATCTTAACCGTCCATTTAATTTGATGAATATGTGATTTCATAAAAAATTTGATTATTTCCTAATATAAAATATTGATCATAATTAATGTATCATATTCATCTTTCATAAATATTCAAATCATAATAAATGAACTCCATCATTTTTATAAATATTTCAATTAATTAGGTTACATTGATTGTACAAATGGACATGGTTGCATTTAAAATATACCCTATATATATATATATATATATATATATATATATATATATATGGATTACAGTTAATTTTAAAGACCATCGATGTCGATAGATATTTTGTTTAGGGAGCAAATTTAAAATCTAAGCATACGACAGAGCTTATCAATATAAATTCACTCTTAATTGTATTATTAAACTATTTAATATATTTAATAAAATATTATTTTTTCCTAAAATTTAATTTAAAAAACTCTTATTGGTGGAAATAGTTAAAAAAAATCCTTTCTTGAGATGTACAAGTTTAGAGAATATTACCATCTTTCCTGCCATTTCCATTTTAGTGAGAGTTCAATGAGTATGCATACTAAAAATTAGCCCAAAATCACAATTTTAAAGAATCAATCGAAGATGTTACTACATTTGTACGTATGCTAATGTCTCGTAGTTGATCGTGGATCAACTACGAATCACAATGGCTAAAAGAGCATCCTCGTTGAAAATGCGTAATCGTGTTATATATCTTACATGAGGCCAACAAAACCAATGTGTGACATAAGATATCGGTTACAAGACCGCAAAATAAAAAGAAGACTTTAACAATCTAAGCTCAAATTGGCACATGCTTAACTCTATGTACTTGATGCTTGTCATGGCTCGATAACAAATAGAGGCTGCAACCAACCCAACAACCGTGTTTTTTAGCCGGAACAAAAATCTAAAAGACAACTCACGCTACATACCAAAGGGGTTGTTTACCTAAATGCTTACCCGGTAAGCGCTTACCTTTAGGAGTCAACATTGTAATTTATTTTACCGGGTAAGATTGTAGTTAATCAAAATGGTATAATATGCAACAATTTACCCGGTAAGTGCTACCCGGATAAGAGTCGTCATTCTCACTTACCGAGTAAGAATCCTCATCTTTATCATTGCTCTTACCGGGCAAGATTTTTGACCTTTGTCATGTTCATCCGGTAAGGAAAATTACCCAGTAAGCACTTACAGGGTAACCGTTTAGTAAACAGCCCCTAAGTATGTAAATCTATCTATAAATATTTATCGACATCAAACTTTTCTTTTTTACATTTCTAATGCTATGATTTAACCCATATCGAGGTTCAGATAGCAGGGCCCAATCTAATATTGTGTGCGGTATGGGGAATTCATGCATGTCTAAAAAAATTCGAGGAGAGTCTAGGTGGGTTCTTTTAACATACAACCGGACCGTGCACGAAGGGGCTAATCATATGAGAACCACAAAAAAGTTACAAACCAGTAAAAACTTATATCAGTGCATTGTTTCACATGATGTTACATCTAATGCTAAGATTTAAGATAATTTTTCACATATATTTGTTTCAAAATGTGAAACTTCTTTTACATGTATTTTTGTTTCAGAATGCGAAAAAAAACCCCAAGTATTTTTCACTTGTGAAACAATACATGATTCATCGGTTTGCAACCTTTTTGAGGATCTCATTTGATTATGTTTGTGTTTGTGTGTGTTTGTGTGTGTGTGAGAGAGAGAGAGAGATACCGTATCCAGGCTAACTGGTTTTCCATCCTCGGCAAGAATGTCAACAACCGTTCCAGATTGATCAGCCTAACAAAATAATTGAAATGATGAAGTACGTGTACGGTTGCATATATATATTCTATACCTCCTAATAGGGTTCAAATAATGTATCTGCCTATATAAAAACTACGAAATCGTGAAACCTTGGCTGGTTGATATAATGTCAACCGTTCAAATATGGACTAACATTGGGCTGATCTTTTACATTCCTAAAAGATGTTATTGTCATGAAATGATCTTTTGTGCATAAAAGATGTTATCATCATTGAAATTGGTGGTTTTGAATGAATTCCATCATGTTGCAGTGCGATGAAATAATATTGAACAGAAATTTTGTAGGTTCCTGTTTTGGCACGCAGAGACATGAAAAGAGTAATAAACTTTTCTGAGTCTTGGGTCTTTTGTTGCAAGCAAACCATTGTTCTTGCAAAAAAAACCTTCAAAAGAATAAGCAAATTTAGGAAAACTATGGAAAGGTAAATGCAAAGAAAACCATTGTACTCGACAATTTTCGTCCAAAACCATTCATTCATTCTCTAAAGGATATCAAAGTCGTCCTCTACGAAAAGATCTGAGAATCAATATACGACTTGGGGGCTTTGGGTTGTTTCTTTGGGTTTTGGTGCCTGATCAATAGCTTATGGTCATAGATTTGTTGTTCCACTTGACAAATTATTTCAAGACAATAACCCGTCATATATTCTTACAGAAAGATAATGTCATGGGAAGTTTCTATCGTATTATAGGTAGAAAAATCCTGAAATAATAATGATGATAAATATGATGTGATCATGATGATATCAATATAACCAAAATTATGCATATATGTCATTATTTATCTGGCTGTTATCAATGCACTTTTAGTTTAGATTTCAGTTGTCATCAATAAGCCAAAAGGTGAAAGAACATGCAAGAGAACTACCTCAATTTCATTCATCAACTTCATTGCCTCAATAATGCAGACAACCTGACCTTTCTTAACCTTGTCTCCAACCTGAAAAACATCCATTAAAATGAAAAATGGAATGAATTATGACAGAGAAGACAAGAGCACAGCAGTTATACAAGTTACGAAATATTACTGCATTTTTCTACTAGGCAACTTGTTGATTTGGTACCATAATGATGACAGTATGACACGTTAGCAAAATTCCAAAGTGATTATATTCCTAAAAGTAGCTACATAGACTTTGAGAGTACAATAGGTGAGATCCGTAAATAAGTCTAAAAGGGAGCGAGCATAAGTCCTAGCATATTTGACCATTCTAGTGTGATAAATAAAGAAGCTTTAACTAGAGATAACGAAATTGAAAGCAATGTATAATTCTCGATGACATTAAGTCATTTATTTAAGCTGTGTATTAAGAATGTGGATGCTGAGGTGAATGTTTGACAACACATGCCAAGCACAAAAGGATCAGATTAAAAAAATTATCCATTGGAGGGAGGTGATTGGGGAGGCACCGGTTAGAAGGCCAAGATTCACATGGGATTATGGGAAATATATAAATATATATACACACACACACACATATGTGAAGATATGTTAATGAAAATGTACCAAAGGAACTGATTAACAAGGGCGGACCTAGCTTTAGGGCATACGGTGGCATGTGCTACCACTTCATTGTTCCGACGTAGTGGAAAAATTCACGCTCTTGAACGTGCCACCGTTTTGATTAGATATGTGCCACCGTTTTGGTTAAATGAAACAAAATAAAGGTGCAGAGCAATTGTAAGAGTGCTCATATAGGAAGAGAAAGTCATAGGTTCAAGCGTTGGTGAACAAAATTTGCAATTATTCTGTGCCCAATTATTCTGTGGCGAAGATTTTTAGGTCCACCTATGGAATTGAAGTGAAGATATGTTAGTGGAATGTACCAAAAGGATTAAACTTACATACAAGTGCGTGGAAGGATGTTATTCTAGACCGAGGAGGCGAGGACCTTACAGGGCCGTCCTCTTTATAATTTCTATTGTGTTTCATCTTTTTAGCCTTCTGGAATAAAAAGACGATGTTGATTTATCTCAACTTCTCAAGCATATTATTATCAAAAGTACCTTCACAAAGGGAGCCACTCCTGGTGCAGGAGAACGATAGAAGGTTCCAGCCATGGGACATTTCAATGGAGGATGCGAGGACTTTGGCTTTGCAGGGGTAGGCGATGCTGGTGCCGATGCAGAAGGAGCTGGTCCTGAAGAAGGAGGAGTAGCCTGTGGTGGAGGCGGTTGTGATTGCAACATGGCCAGTGGTTGTGGAGATTGCGTCATAACCATAGGAGCTGCTGGAGGCGTTGGCAAGGCTTCCTTCTTTCTTATAAGGACTTCACAATCCTGTTGCTTTAGTTGCAGCTCCACAATGTCTCTTGAATCCACCAGCCTGAAATAGAAACTATGATTGACCCCACCAAACACTACAAATTTAAACAATCGAATTCATGCATGTTAAAAAAGGTTGGCAAAATTAGGGTAAATCATTGAATGCAAGAAGGCTATTTACAATGATGGTTTCAGAAAGACTAGTGTTGTATACAGAGGCTAAGAGGAATCTAAATTGTTACTGGAGAAGGAAAAATGTTTATGTAATATTGAAAGTGTTCAAAATAAGAAATGTCATGATTTCAACTGGGGTATCTGTATCCCAAAGGGAAGAAGTGAGTGTTATTAGTGCAGTACGTCTGTATTTTCTCTATGGATAAGATAAAAGTTGTGTATCAGTGTATGTAAAAGAATTTTGACATACTGAACAAGCCCTGCCACTTGATTCATAAACGCAGTTATTGATGCAGCATCAGGAATTGTGATTTCTGATGACGTTTCCCTCGTTGAGTCCACCACCGACTTCTCTGAAGATGGGGTAGAATCTGATTTCTGTAGTGCAGCCTTAAGAGAAAGAGCCTTAGATAAGGATAAGGCAACACTAAATGAAAGATGAGGCTTGGGAGAACAATAGAATTCTATGCACCTAATAATGGCAAGTAGCTAACCTCATCAAGCTGAGCCGACACTCTCATACCATCATTCTGGTTCTTCTTTGATGCCTACAGATAAAGATAAGCAGATAACAAGGATGTCAAATATAACTCGGCTTGGTTAGGCCTCTTGATTGTGAGCCATTTGTGGAAAATCACACCCAATGAGAAGTTTATGGTTGCAGATAATTCTGTGCATCGTTAGTTCATTACCAATGTGAAATACAGGGAATGTACTTTTTGTTACCGTTGCTTCAGCATATGCTCTGCTCAAAGTACTCCTTTCTTTTTCTTATTCAATAGTGCTATTTTTCTCTTTTAAAACCTTTTTCCAACTCCTAAACATAAGTTTAAGGTACAATACTGATAGGATAGATCAGCAGATTACTAGGCAATAAAACTAATAAAGAAGTTCTAGATCAATAGGGATCATTTAGCATCCAGACACATTCAGCTATAAATTAACTTCTATAAGAAGCACGTATTTGTTACTGCTTTCTTAACAGCAATCAGCAAGCTTCCCACATGATTTATCAGCCAGTAACTCTAACCAAAGCTGCATGCAGAGAGGACTTCCATTTTCGAGTATGCTAATTTCGATTCTTTTTTGGTTATATTCAAGGAATTGCAATTAAAAAAAGATCTATAGTGCCTAAGAGGCATCCCCAGCCCAAAAAAAAACCTATGCTATCAACAAGATCTAGAAAAAGCTAGATATGACCAACTTAAACGCCACAAGCCTAAAAAAACTTTGGAACATGACAAACGAAAGATAATAACTAAAAACAGTCCAAACTACAAAAGCCACACTATAACAAAATAAAACCAAGAAAAAGCATCCAAAAACTTAAACTGATAGGGTAAAAAGACCCCTGTAGATTATGATTATTATATCTCCAAAAAGTTTGTATTCCTCTTTTTATCATGTTGAGTATAATCTTAACTAACAACCTACATGTCACTTTCCCCTTTATATGGAGTTCTTGATTGCTTTCTCCCCAAATATAATACACATAACCACACTCGAAGCAAGTTCATGTAAATGCTTTACAAAATATTACCCTGGATACTTTGATGAGGCCCCTAATGCTGATCCCAATCAAAGGGAACTCTTGAGATCCAAAAAGTCAGACATCAGTTAGAACTGCATGGGAGTATGGACTGTCAAAGTGAAGATGTCATATTCCTCAACTCTGGTGGTGATACAAGAGACAACCACTGGAGATATCAATAGCAAACTCTGCAAAGTGTACGTTTTGTCCTCCCAAAACAACCAATAAATAAAACAGAACCTAGGGACATGTATGCAATAAAAGATTAGGTCAGCCCCAACTCTGACAAGAAAGTCTCCACAGGATCCTCAAATGTGCCATGGTGTAGACCTTGCTTTATCTATATTCCCTCACCTAACCTTATCTCTGGCACTAGGGTCTTAAGTCTAACAGAGAAATTCATTCTAAAAACAATCAGACTTTGGTGTCTATATCCCAGGAAGACACACAGGCATCTTTGTGTAAATTAGACGTTAAGATATGATCGAAGCGTTAGAAACTTAGAATGAATTTTGAGCCCCTGTTCATACATTGGGACTAGTGCCCTTCTGATCGAAAATCATATGGACATGCCTTATGGCTCATTATCACCTCCTGATACTAGAGAGCTTTCTGCCAAATCCAGGAGCAAGTTGCAGGAGTTTAACTTGTTCAAAAAGTTTTGTCCTTGAGAATGTCCCATTGTGCCTAGAACAACATTGCATCACATGAATAATTTGGCATGCATAGAAACTACTTTGGGCCTTTTCCGATTCCTGTAAATTCTTAAATTCTATACCCCCTTCCTCCTTAATCAAGCACCAATCATCATAACTAATCTGACCCCAACCTAGTGGATGTTATGTGGCATATGAGTGAGTAGGAAAAATTCATCAAACATAAGCATCAAGATAGCAAGCCATTCAACTAACTTACTCCTGTATTAGAATGCAAATCCCTAAACCACAAGGGTGGTGCCGATTGGTTTGAGCTTGGCTCCAAAGGTCAAAAGTACCTGGAGGTCCCAAATTCAAATCCAAGGAGGAATAAAAATCCCCTTGTGGCCAGGTTCAAATGCAGTGACTCCCCTGGGATTAGTCGGCTCGCATAGCGGGTTGGATATCCAGGTTAATCAAAAAAAAATCCCTAGGAAAACCATACAGCTAAAGCAACAGTATAAGCATTGCAAACAGTACATAAGTCACCATGACATGTTGTTTGTCTTATCCCTTGGATACTTCTCTAAGAAGTAATGTTCAAAATTTAAATATACTTCGATCAATATCTGGACCTAGGGATCACCATATGGTTTTGCATGTGATTCAATCAATGACTTGACAAAAAGCAGAAAAGCAATCTCATGCAATTAAGAGAAGTGTTTGGGCTATGTCAGCACATCCATGTCCTCACACTTACAGCTTTCGGTTGTGCTGTGTCAAAGCTGAATTAAAGAGAAATACCTTAGGACTTCAGAGCTCACAGTAGTTATGATCCACATATAACAAGAAATACAAATACACTAGGTAGGGACATTTGGAGATGCGTTTTCAAAGTGATTTATGTAACTTGAATCAGATAATCAGCTGCTATTCAACAAGTTCCAGAAAATAGCGTTTCGGTGTGCTTCTGTTGTTTGAATTTGTAAATTGTGCTAATAAGATAATAACTTGTTTGAATGTTTGATAAACTTTCTTTATTTAAGTGATTATAGATAAATGACCAAAAAGGAAATTCGTATATATTGTTGAAGAAGTTGCTTGTGGGTGAAAAGACTTCAGAAAAGGGTAACAAAAAATTACTAAATAAGTCATTTTACTTTTCCTTGAATTATCAGCTTTGTTGCAGCACATATGGAAGTAATTATATGACCCCTAAATAATCAAATATGAATCAAAATCACTTTTTCTAAACATCAAAAACCAAAATAAAAAACACCCCTTGCAAGAATTCTCTATTAGTTACAATTTTCAACTGGTATACAAGATACTACTTTAAACCTCTGAACACTTAAATTTGCATAAAATGCCGATAACAATAACGAACATCTAACTCATAGTTAACAAATTAGTCAATCAATGGCAAAAGCTAATGTCTGGGAAAGCAGTAGCAGAACACACGACTGTAAAACCTGCTAATAAGTTCTGAAATTGAAGAGAATGCAATCACGCCTGCATAAATTGCCGCAATGATAAATAAAAATTCTAACCACTTCAGCAAAAAAAAAAACTAACATCAAACCACACCTACATACAAAATTGTTCTGTATTCAAATAAATTCTGAAGCAAAAACGAAACACCTGAAATCCTAGAGACGAGGATCCAGCAACCAATGCACATTTCGATTTCAAATCCGAGTGGAAAAGAACAACCGAGTTGTTCCGGTGCTTGGGGCTGAAATTCTGCTTATGGCTTGGCTGAGCCGCGAGCAAAGCCGATGTTTTGGGCGAAGGAATAGCGAACGACGCCATTAACGAACGAGTTCGTGAATTAGATGTATAGGAAGTGTGCAGATTTGGATGGAATCAAACGGAGGCAATGACGGAGTAGATTTGGAGGGGTTTTGTAGGCGAAACTAGAAATCAATGGCGATATGAAGGAGGGATAAAAGCGACGGCGGATTTCGGTGTGCGCTGAACTGGACAGCTGGTGGTTAAACGCCCGACAACCACCGGAGTGTCTCCGGATTTTGATAAACGACACCGAGGACCAGGGGTAAAATGGGAAATAACATATCTATGTAACTAGGGTTTACGGTGTTGACTGTGCCAACTTTGACTTTTGACAGTTCAACTAGGCTTGGTATTATCAAAACTATGCTTACTTTTTATTTTATTACAAAAATATGATTATGTCATTTATCTATTTATTTATGAGTAAACTAAGCTTTCAGTCCTTGTGGTTTGTGAAAATTATTATTTTAGTCCCTATGTTTTTAAAATTACGGTTTTTGTTAAAAGTGTTTATCTAGGGTGCGTTTGGTGCGTGGAACAGGGTGGGACAGGACATGACACACTTGTCCATCACCACATCACACAGTTTAATATTTACAGTACAGTTTACAGTTTGTATTTCATCAAACCGTATTTTATGGTGTCATTTTAGATTATTAAATCACACCGCATTGCATATATTTATATTTTTTGTATATACATATATATAATATATTTATATTATATTATACTAGAAGGGTATTCGTGCAATGCATCGAGACACATTTCCATTTCAATGTTTCGTTTTTATTTTTTATTCATGTCGATATAGTACGATTTTATGTAGTTTTGAAAAAGACATAATGTTTCTATTTTTGAATAAAATATAAATTTGAAAATATCATAAAAATTTTAAAAAATATATATCAATGTTAATATCAAATCAACTATTTAAAAGTTCTTATTTTTTATGTAATTTCTTTAATTTATTTTGTATTATAATTTAATTTAAGTTTAATAACGAAATAATTTATTTTTGGTTTAATATTATAACATTTTATAAAGATGATAATTAAGTATTATGTTAGAACTTAATGATTATCCTAATTTTATTTTAGATTTTTTATATTTAAAATGTGATGTTTATCTTGTACTTGATTATGTTTATCTGCAGTTAGTTACACGAATTCATATATGGAGCTTTAATAAGTTGTATTTACGCACAATCTACTTACAATCTTGAGTTTTAAGTAACATGCATTAATAAACAGTATTTTACGCATAAAAAGTAGTTTTTAAGAGTTTTTGTCAAATACTTTATAATATAGTATAGATTATAAAATATTTGACAAAAACTCTTAAAACTCATTCTTTATACATAAGTACTGTTTATTGAGACATATTATTTAAAATTCAATATTACAAATAAATAATGCATAGGTACAGTTTATTAAAGTTTCATGCTTGAATTCGTATAACTAACTGTAGATAAATATAATCAAATATTAGATAAACGTTTAATTTCAAACATAAAAAATCTAAAATATAATTAAGATAATTTTTCGTAGTTAAAATTATTTTGACGTTAATTTTTCATATGTGTTTGAATTAAATATGGAATCATTTAGTGTTTTTTTAGGTTATTCTAAGTTATGTATTTCGGCTAACTTATTTCCGCTGTATTAAAACTTTTGGTTGTATGGACTATGGGTATGTTATAATTGAATTTAGTTTGAAGTTATTCCTTTATAATTATTATATTAAAATGCATTAGGTATAGACTGTGCGGTGTGGTTTTGTACGGTCATTTGAATCCAGCTCAACCCGTTATCATTAAACAAATACACCATCATGTCCATCACGTACCGTTTTCATATACAATATTTTCATTTTATTCTTCATCTCTATGTAACTTTTTCGTATATATGTTCAGTAAATGCGATTGAGAAGAGTATTTGAATATGATATACTTAAGATTTAAGGAGTATGTATAAGTTGTACCAAATGATTGATGATGAAAAATAAATTATGAGTAGAGAAAACAATATATCTAATGTTAAAATAATATTTTAATGTACCAATGTATCAACCTGACCAACCCCGTACGGTTTGAGTTGGGTTGAGTTGAATTTTTTCAACCCAATCACCCGACCCATGAGCACTCCTAACTGGAAATTTAAGGATTGTGAGAGTTCATGGATCCAAATATAAATATATATTCATTTAGGCAGTATGTTCTCAAACGGAGAATTCCTTACACAATCGACACATATCCATTTACAATGTGTTATCAAAACCCTTTTTACGGGGGAAATGAAATGAGATAAAGTGAAACGAGGAGAAAACATAAAACACGTGTTCCCAAAACTTTTTACGAGGGGAAATAAATATTGGTTCCTCCCATAACTTTTCTTCGAAACGTGGGAAGATAGGGTTGGAAAAACCTTAGAACCCATGAAGAACTTAGTAAATTACAAAATTACCCATCAATTCGACACCATCAAACAGATATAAAACAATGTGTTTGTGTATATGACATATTTCATGAGTGGGATGCACATATTGACCATGCAAAGTCGTCTACGACTATCTGTTGATTCATCAGATACCACGGTTAACGTTTACAAGATAAATTGTTGTATATAATATCGTTTTGATAGATTAAAATATTACCCGTCTAATTCATTCTTATTGTAATAAAGGGTGGATTTTTGCAAGTTTGGGCCTCTTATAACTGTTTTGGGCTTTATAAGAAATAAAGGTCTTTTTTGGACCTCGCAAGTCCATAAAACGATATAAAACCCTAGCATCAACTAGACTCGCCGCCTCTGAAACCTGAATACACAAATAACCCTCGCCAGAGAGCTCCGCCGCTGCCAGGAAAAAATGGAGACGGCGAGAACTGTGAAAGACGTTTCTCCTCATGAGTTTGTGAAGGCGTATGCTGCGCATCTCAAGCGTTCCGGAAAGGTGTTTTTCTCTTGCTAATTGATCGAATATCATAGGCTGCTTTCGCTAAATTCTTATTTTGCTTTTATTTTACTCTAATTATGTTGTTTTGAGAGTTTTGGACTATGATTTTGGCGGATAATTTACGCTTAATCTTGTTTTGTTCGTATAACCATTATGGATTTGCGTTAATTTTCCATTCTGAATTTATGAAAGGATTTTAGATTTTGAGTTCGTGCTTTTAGATTTTGAATCCAGTTACCTTTGATTTGTTAATGGAATGCTATTTTGTGACGATGATTGAGTAGTTAGCTAGAGGTTGTTTAATGTAAAGGTTTTCATGAGGTATGTGCGACTGTGCGAGTGACTATAGAGATGTTAGTTTGAGCATTAGTATTGTTTGCTTTACTAGTATTTTTTTGTTTAGCTTCGAGTGTTTTCAAAGCTTGAATCCACTATTGGAATCACCTTTTAGTGAGCTTTGATTTGTAATATCAGCTAAAAAATTCTGAACTATTGTGTAGGGGCAAAAACAAGTGAAAACAGTTGGCTTAAATTCCTGTATAGAGCTGCTTAACAGTTCATTATAAGCTGCATATCCCACCTCTTTGATTAGCTAAGTGATTGCTCAATCAAGCATGCTAAAAGGTTGAAGTATATTAGTGAGGCTAGGCATGTACTTTGTTTGCCTTATTACTTAAACACATGAATAAACAGTTTGATATCTTTCCTTTCATTTAAAAAATTAAGATCCCATTTAAAACACCCTTTTTTCCAAATTAAGATCAAGTTCTATATTTAGTATGCCAATTACTTCAATACCTACTTAAAGCAACAAATTGTTTTTGCATTATTTTATTTGATTTATTCAAATCTTTATGACTCTGTTTGGCAGTTCAGGATGGTACATATTGAGTCACCAGTGAATAGGAAAAGAAGCACAAATAAACAATTACTTTAGTGAGTTCAGAGTATTCATAAATTCCCATCCAAAAATGTTTTTGTGAAGGCTATGACCAGTAGACTATTGTGGGATTTTGTGGTTGGTTTGATTAGTTGATATGCTTGTCATCCTAGTGGAGAAAGATAAATTTGTCCTCTTTCTCTTTCCAACTGCAATTGGATTGTTTTGAGTTATCAGTTAATAGGAAAAGAGGCTTGTATGGATGATTACTTGGTGAGCTCAGAGCTTTTTTAAAATCTGATCCCAAAATCTTTTGTGTTTGGGTTGAGTAGAAGACTATACTAGGCTTTGTCTTCACATCAGTATGAGGTTAGCCAAATGGAAATGGTGATCACGGAGAGATAAAATAAGAAGTCTAGAAAGAGGGTTGGGTGGCATAGAAAATGGGAACAAAGTAAAAGGATATGCTAACAACGTAAGTTTGTTGCAAATGGTCTTGCAAATCGGGCGTGTCTAAACCCCAACTTGTAGTACCTAGATCTTTTCAAGATGATGCTTAGGTGGATGCCTAAGTTGCCCAAACTTTAACATGTATTATTTCAGCTGAGTTACTGTAGTTTTTGTTATGTTTAGAACATTCTAAGTATGCTTTTTATCATACGACTCTAAATAATAAATATTTTTTGTACAAAGAACAAACTAAAAACCTGACAGCAGCAGCACCAGCAAAATTGTCAATTGTTGTCAACAAAAAATGTCAAATATCATAACTAGAGTTCGAGTAGTGTATGTGGTTTTTAGTCCCATTAGGTCTTGATAATTTAATTTATAACTATAGTATGCTTAATGGAACTGGCTGTAAAGCACATATGGAAGTCGATGTAGCCTAGGTTTGTTGCTTCCTGATGGCAATCCATTTTACCCTTATTCTTATATGTCTTTTGTCATCTGTTTTTCTTGCCAAAATGTTCAGGCTACCTTGAATATACTTATCTTTCAGCTACTCAAGAATGTTTTTGGCTGTTTTATTTTGTCAGCCAACTGCATTTATGCTGCATTAAGCAGCAGTAATATTATATGTGTGTCTTATTTCTTATTATATCAATCCTCTCCAATTAAAATTTTCATCAACAGATGGAGCTTCCTCACTGGACCGATATTGTGAAAACTGGTACCTTCAAGGAGCTTGCCCCATACGACCCTGATTGGTACTATATCAGAGCTGGTAAGGGCTTTCAACTGTTTATTAGGCAAAATGCAATGAAATTTGGTTTAATTCCTATTATGTGTAACAAGCACTTTCTTTTCAACATCGATGTGACAGTTTCAAAATTTCCTATTTTGTATGATGAGTAACCTACTGATCTTGTAACATTTGATGATGTGACGAAAGGTTTATGAAATGTTTACGAAAGAGTTATGGCTAAGTGGACGATAAACTTGACATCCACGTCATCATATGTTACATTAAATATGGAAATATTTGAACTTTGTTGCAATGATTGTAAAAATTTGAAAGGTTGTTACATTAAGTAGGAAAATTTGGATTTATTATTACATTGATTGAAAAAAAAAATCATTTGTTATACTAAAATAGGAACCAAGACAAATTTAGTTGCATTTTGATGTATTTTGCCTCTCTTCTTAAGCTAACTTGCATGATTTAATTAAGTACAACAATGATTCATGGCTACTGACTTTTCTTTTCTTTAAATGTATGTGTGAAAAATAGCATCCATGGCAAGGAAAATATACTTGAGAGGAGGGCTTGGTGTTGGAGCTTTCCAGAGAATTTATGGTGGGAGCAAGAGGAATGGTAGTGCCCCACCTCATTTCTGCAAGAGCAGCGGTGGTATTGCTCGTCACATTCTTCAGCAGTTGCAGAACATGAACATCGTGGACTTTGAAGCCAAGGGGTGAGTCTCATAATATTTTCTTTGTTTCCACTTCATTAGTTTTGTCATCACGTATTCATTCTTCATATGCCACTTAAATGACCGAGACATCTCATGGGGGTCTATACCCTTCCTATTTCATAATTTTCGATAAATATTGACCTCAAGATTTGTATCTTGACCCAAAGGAGAATTTCTTGGCTAGAAACTTGATGACAGTTTTAAGGCATCCATTATTCTCTGCCATGAGAGCATCAATTTGTGTTGATGATCTAATATTTTCATTTTTACGGGTCCTGTTTAGACATGGATGTTTTAGGTATTTCTGAGAACATGACCTTTTATAGGAGTTCTTGGAGATACAAGATTAAGGTAGCAGACTAGGAGTGGGTTTTATCTAGCTTGCCTAGTGGGGATAGGGTTAATGAGTGGCAATTAACACCCTTTGGATCATAAGTTAGACTAGGAATCTTGGTTACATTCTCGTTTCTGTCTGCATGTTTTGATTGTTTCTACTTCTATTCCCTAGTCCCTACGTCTCAAAGTAAGTGTCCACCATTAAAATGGCACAGTTCAATGCATACATTTCTATTACACTTTTTAGTTAACCAAATGACAACTTTACCCTTCATTAATTTATCTCTTTTAACTCCTAAATACAATTGTGGATTAATTAAGGGTAGATTTGAAGATTTAGTTATCTATTTTGTAACCGGACGCTTATTTTGGGGGAAACATAAATATAAATCTGGACAGCTTATTTTGTGACTGACTATTTTGTTTTTCAAATTTTAGCACTGCCTACTTGTTTTCAACTTCTTTTTCAAAAGTTCTTTTTCTTCTTTTCTCACATTATGCACAAGCTGGAGGTTGTCATGAGAACAAGCGGGCGGCTGGGGGGTTGTCTATTTTACGGGTCTTATTTACTTGATCTTAAGATGAAAAACGAAGGAGAATAGAGGAAAATGACGTTAAGAATGAAACCTAAAAGTTTCTCTCCTTTTTCCATGGTTTCAAATATATCTCGACCTCAATTTCATTACCCGATTCAACATGACCTAACCTAATTATTGTGTACCAGTGGGAGGAAGATCACGTCTAACGGTCGAAGAGATCTTGACCAAGTTGCTGGAAGAATTGCCGCGGTTACCCCATGAGGTTTCATGGACACAAACTTGTAACCGGCACACATTAAATTACATTTTAAGGTATTAATTTTGCTCATCTTGGTTAAAGCCACCGGATATATACCCAATATTAATGTGTTATTTTGCGGGTTAGTTTTGAAGTTTGTTTTCTTCACTTTTGACACCAATTTCTACTCCAAGTCGTGTTTGATGAATTGTTTAGTTTTAAGATTCTTTTGTCGATTAAAATTTCGGCTTCAGTTATCGCCAACTATAGTTTTTTGTTCAGTTGGTTTTTAGAGGGTTTTGGTTGGCCATAGTTTTCGGTTTTATGAACTGAGAACCGGTCAATTAGCCGAAGTGTTTGTTTTAGTGCTGGAGTTGGGAATTGTCGATCTACTGTTTTGGTAGTACGGTCGGACTTGGCCATGGTTTAGTTATACTTGGGTGCGTACGTGCCACAGTATGAGACATGACAACAAAATGTATAACATTTGGTCCTTGGTTAGAATGGGACATGACTTTTATCCTACAAAAATACGTGGAATGAAAATTATATACATGCGTGCGCGCACACACACACACATATATATATATATACATATATGTATATGCATGCACACAAACACACATGATCGGTCATTTGAAGGGAATCGACCTAGTGGTTCTGTTAGTTAGCATTGATCCAGTAGTGACCCGTATTATCCTTTTCACCTTAACTTTCATTTTTTGTTGTACCCAACCTGGTGTGTATATATGTATATATATATTAAAAAGGGATATGGACACTTAATCATTTTTAGTCTCAAATCCACCTATGAATCGCGTTTGATACGAGGACTGGTCTCGTGTATCTCATTCTAATGTACATACAAATGGTGGAAATTCCTTCTTAAACGCTTCTTCTCATTGGAATCTTGAAAAAACTGGTTGAAAAATATGGTCTTATATTTTATGTTTTTCTATTTACAAAGTTTCCTTTTTGTTGTATATATAATTTAAGTTTTACCAAAAAGTCATTGGTACACGATATCCGATTACTCAATCTTCCTAAAACAAATATAAAACAACTGCCACGGTTTTGTCAATTTCTAAGAAAGAGCGCTACGGTTTTTAACTTTAATATAAATATAAAGCAAGTGATTTGGGTAAATTCGTTACTTTTGTCAATTTTCCTTAAAACAATAGAAAATTATACTAAAATGGAACTAATTTTTATCTGATTTTTATTTTGAGAAATCAACTTTTAAAATCGTCATATCAAACTCTTTGTTTATTTAAGGGTTTGGTTGATCTATTGAACTGGTAATTTAAGGGTTTTTATCAAACCTTTGGTTTGATTTGCCAAATTTGATTTAAACTTTAATATTGATACGGATTGGTTAGATATAAAATTTTTGAATGTGATATTTAATATTTATTTTTTATTGCATCAATTAATTTTCTCTATTAAATTGATTTTTTATGGAATTAGTGAAAACAATTTTTATCGTGAAAAAAATCTTCAATTTGATATCTGAATTTTTAAAAAAAATTTGAAATGAAAAATACATTTTATTGCATTAATTTTTGAAAAAAAAAACGAATTTTAGTTATTTTTCTATAATTATTTTACAATTTTAAATATGACGTGAAATATTAGTTTTAAAATAAAAAAATAATATGACGTGGAATATCTTAGTTGACAAAAAATCTGGATGATATCAACTTTAACAGGTCAACGAGACCTTTAAATAAACAAAAAATTTGATAGAGACCCTTAAATGACGATTTTGAAAATTTGTTCCCCAAAATAAGAATCAGGTGAAAGTTAGTTCCATTTTGATGCAATTTCCAAAAAAAAAAAAAACTCCATATATTAATTTCTAGGCAAATAACTCCCTACATAAATTTAAATATAACAAGTACACCAAGAGTTTTAATGCCAGGTATGTGTATATCTCTTCCCCTCTAAAATAGGGGTGCAAAACTCGAATTATCTAAAATCCAAACCTAAACCCGAACAAAAAATAAGGTATTTATGTAAAACCCAAACAAAAAATAAGGTATTTATGTAAAATTTGCATGCCCTAAAATATAAAAACCGACTTTTTGGGTTCAGGTTCAGTTTGATTTTTGGCCACCCGATCCAATCGGAAACCCGAAATGTACATACATATATATTTTAACTACAATATAAACATGCTTATTTATCTAATTATTTTTGAAAATTTCTAAAAATCTTAGTCGGTCTTGTTTCTTTTTCTAATTTTTAAGCATGCTATCGATTCATCAATCTTCTAAACTGATTGAATTCATCGTCAAAATCAATTGGATTATGTAATTTTTGCATTATAACTAAACCCGAACCCGACCAACCTCAACTCGAAACCCGACCACCCGAACACGAAGCAATTCGAAATCCAAAATCCAAAAATTGGGACTTGATTTCCATATCCGAAATTCGATAGGGTTTTTGATTTTCCCACCCGAACCCCCCCTGACCCACCCGATACACAACCCTACTCCAAAGAACCCTAATTTCAAGTGAGATTTATTAGCTTCATCTGATTCTCAAATAACGATACAAATGATGAAGCTCAAGGTCGAAGCGTATATTCGAAACCGAGCACAGTTTTATGTAAACGAACCAGATAAAAACCGGTCTTTTTTTAAACCATAAACCACTTATATTTATGTTAAAACCACTTCCATAAGAATTGATTCTTTTTCTCTTTGAATATCACCAAAAGGTAGCCTAAACCAAATTCAATGTATTAGAACTAACCCCACCCTACCCACTAAACTCTCCATTAATTATAACCTTTTTGAAATTTTATATTTTAATTTTTTTTAAAGTATATAATATTTATATACGGTAAATAGAACAAATAAGGTAAGAAACTTAGATTTGAAAAAAATATATGCAAATATCTGTAGAAAAATTGATTGTTAAGATACATGTAAAATTATCTGATTATTAATTAATCAACGATGTAAATTGCTATATTTGAATAATAATATTCAAGTATATTTGAGTTTACTAACTGTGAGTAGGGGTGCTCAAAACCTGACCAACCCGATCAATCCAACCCAATCCAACACGAAATAACTCAACCTGAAGCAATCCAATCTCTAATCGAGTTGTAAAATTTAAAAAACGTAGGTAGTGGGTTGATAATGGGTTAGTATTATTTGAACTTAACCTAAATCGATGAGCCCGATATCCTTTTATTTCTTAAATTTAATATAATTGTTGAATTTCTATTAATTTTAATCATAAATCGAGAATGAAGATTTAATACAATTTTTCATTAAATACGAAAATCCAAAACTTGTGGGGTATTCGTGTTGGGTCTAGATTATCCCCAAGATATTGAAAGTTTTATAAAGTCAGCTTTATGATTTGTATTGTAATATCTTGGGCTCTGAGCATTGAGTTTACCAGATATAACTGACACCTATAAATAGGTGTCGGGCATAGAATATTTATATCTGTTCTTCATCTAAATTTGATTTGTTGTTAGAACTGGGATTCACAATTCGACTGTATCAATAGGGTTTAGCGAAGCACTGATATTGTATTTAAGTGTGTTTACAGTTGATTTTATGTAGTTCAAACATGGAGTTTTAAAAAGCTGTATTATATATATGTATTAATAAGTTGTTTTAAAAAATATGTACCGAATTAATTCTTTATAATATAATACATATAAAACTTAATCAAACCAAATCACGTGTTCAACGTTAAACACATTTATAATATGAAAAAGAGTCATACCGTAAAGTTATGACGTTTAAATTTTTAAAAAAATGATTAACGGCCTTTTTGTTTGTTTAAAATGAACTCTTATTAGCCTCTTATGTCTGATTAATTAAGAGACAATTATGTCTTGTTCACCTCTTATCTGATAAGAGGTAAACCAACCTCTTATTTGTCTCTTATTGTTCTTTAAACTCTTGGCAACGATGTTTAAACTTGATCGATCATTTCTCTTAATCGATCATTACCAAATCGATCCTCACCTGTTTTAATTGACGTATTTTAATGGAATTTAAATGTGTTAAATACCGTTAATGACATATTTTCATTTAAATGAATGTTAATTATATAATTTAGATGTAAATTTCGTAGTTATGATGAATTAACATGTGAAGTTATATAAATTTAACACTATAATATTCTAATGGATAAAATAAACAATTTAAACAAATTCAAACATTCATCAGTTTACAAAAACAAACAGTCTTATTGATGCAGATTTCAGACCTCAACACCACCTCTTATTAATCAGAAGTGAAATAATACTTCAACAACTTTTAAAAAACAAACGTCGCCTAAATCATTTACAACATTTACGTATGTATTTATGTAGTAATATCAAATTATAACACGACAGCTTAAAAAACATTAATTTTGAATTACTGATTTATGATTAGACTTGATTGATTGAAATTTTCGTTCAAATTCTGATCTGGCAAGTTTGAAAAAAATTCCATTATCATCTCTCTTTTTAACTGTGTTTTTGTACTTTTAAAACCTGTACAAAAAAATTAAATGATCTGATTGTCGTGTTTTTCGTTTTTTATATTACATTAAAAATGCCCAAAAACATTAAAATTGCAATAAAGGAAAAAAGACCAAATTGACACATAAACAAGTACTGATTCAGACGAAACTGGTTAATAAAAAAATTGTGACCATTTAAACAAAAAAAAAATCTGATTACAGTAAGCACCAATACTAAATATTGAGGCCCCGTTAAAATCTTGATCTTATGACTACTTTATTTCGTTAAAATATTTCTTCCAAAAATACTGAACAACATGCTTTAACGATTTGTTTCGTTGTAATAAATCAGATAAACATGGTAATAGTATGGTAATGAACCGTTCACACTTGCGTTGTATGTAGGGTAAATTGCATGAAAAAAATACGTACTTTAACTTGATTTTTGTTTTGAGTAACGTACTTTCAAAACTTTCATTTTTGGTATCTAAGATGTAAAATTTTAAATATTTAAATATATGGGTAACCGGTTGAAGTATTAATCGGTTACCATGCTGATGTGGCGAGTGATGTGGTATCCGGTTAATGGTTCAGCAAATAATAATGAGTTGGATATCACATCACTCGCCACATCAGCATGGTAACCGGTTAATGCTTCAACCGGTTACCTAGATACTTAAAATGTTTAAAACTTTACATTTTTGGTACGAAGATGAAAGTTTTGAAGGTACGTCACCCAAAATAAGAATCAAGTTAAAGTACGTTACTTTTTTATGCAATTTGCTCTTGTATGTATATAACTTATTGTTTCTCTTAAGCAAATTTATCTGATTACGAATAGAAAATTTATACCAAAATATAATCAACTTTGCATCTGCTATAAGTTCGGCAAACCAACTTTTCGTACTTATTATTTTAGAGAACATGAATTTGGACATCGAGTCTCATAAATGAAATGTTTTAAAGGTTGGTTTTCTTAACGAAAAAATTAAGGACATGTTTGTTTTTTCAAAATTACCTCTTAATACCTTTGAAGTCTAATTCGTTCAGACGTTTTGGTATTAAAAAACGTTTATTTTTTTAAATAAGAGCTTAAAAGCTTTAAATGTCCTCTGAAATTTTATAGGGTAAACGTATCCTTTACTACCTCTTAATCCTAATATATGAAATGGTTCATATTTTGGAGGCTGAAAGAGATTTGTTAGCAAAAACTATTTATCTTACTTTTGTAAATAACTATGAGAAAAGTCTAAAAAAACCCAATGGACTTGAGTGTTTGAAATGATTAAGTTTGTGGACAATTTTTCTAAACAAATAAGTTCTTAGACATTCCAAAACCTGTTAAACAACTCTTTGGACTTTCTAAAACTGTTATATACATTATTATAACCTACAAAACTAATTAATGTACTAAAATAATGGAAAAAAACATGGAAAAAAGCCAATGAACATTCATATTTTGTGTTTTACTGATCCAGATTTATATTTTCCCAATAACTATTTATCTTTTATATTTTTGCATTAGTTTGACCGATTCAGATTTCAGACGTGAAAACAAACAGTTTTACTAACCCAGATTTCAGACTTCAACACCATTTCTTATAAATCAAAAGTGAAATCAGACTTCAACACCTTTTAAAAAACAAACATCAACCAATTTTATTTTAATAAGATCGACTTTATTGATTCAATATTTAAAATATATCTTTTAATAAAATAAATATAAAAATATAAACATTACACAATGATTGTTACATCATCTTTTCAAAAACATAATACCGCCCATCTACAAAGAAAAATTATAAAATAAATTCATTTAAAATTATAAATAATAATTAATGTTTTAATTTTAACTTAAACTTAAACTACAATTTTGGTCCTTGTGGTTTGTCAAAAATAACACTTTTCATCTTTACAGTTTCGTAATTACACAGTAGCTATTAAAGGTCGCAAAAACATTCAAATTTGGTCTCTTCCACTAACAACCGTTAAAAAATCCCGTTAAATAAAGAACATTTTTTTTATTAACCTGAATATCCAACCCGCTATGCGAGCCGACTAATCCCATGTCGACCACCTGCTTTGCAGATAGCTCGAAGTCACCGCATTTAAACCTCCGTGGCCACAAGAAGATTTTTATTACTCATTGGATTTGAACATTTTTGTCATCTACCCAATCAAAACCACATAGAGTCATAGACCAAAATTATAAAATCGATTTTGATTGGGTAAAAGACAAAAAAATCGATAAAATAACGAAAATGTCTCTCAATTAATTGAATTTTCTTAATGGTCGTTTTTGCAAATTATGATGGGATGAAAAGTGTCAGATTTGTAGTTTACTCCGAAAAATTATTAATGGAAACGCTAACTTTTAAACGTAGTAAAATATAATTATTATTTTAAATATGTTGTAAATATAAAAACTGTAGCATTTAAACCTCCGTGACCACAAGGAATCTGTTATAGTGAACGAATACAACTGCTACATCCTACACCGTTCATAGGAGCGCCGAACGTTATTTATGTTGAATAGGAATTTAAATGCACGTCTTTCTCATCGTATGACAGTTCAACGTTTTGTTTGACTTGTAATTTTACGATTTCTTAAGTTATAGTTCCAAGATTGTCATTTAACAAAGAAAAAAAATACACAATTTTGTTATATTATATCGATACCATTAATTTAAGGGCAAATTGCATGAAAAAGTAGTGTACTTTAACTTGATTTTCATTTTGGATAATGTACTTTCAGAACTTGGTACCAAAGATGTAAAATTTTAAACATTTAAGTATTTGGGTAACCGGTTACCATACTGATGTGGTGTCCAACTCAGTATTATTTGTTATTCAACCCATTCATCCCATCACTCGCCACATCAGCATGATAACCTAGCTTTAACCAGTTACATGAGTATTTAAATGTTTAAAATTTTACATCTTATGTACTAGAATGGAAGTTCTGAAAGTACGTTACCAAAAATATGAATCAAGTTAAAGTACGTTACTTTTTAATACAATTTGTCCTTGATTTAACTGTAACAGTGATAATGTAAAATAAGTAAATTTCACTTAAAACCCAAAAGTAAATCACATATGGGGATATATTTTCAAAATACACATTTAAGGGTCTATCATTTAAATGATAATTCATTTGAATACAAAAATACTGATATATTATGGATAATTCATTTGATTTTATGGCATTTGTTGTTACAAAATGATTTGGCAGCGGAGTAGGATTGTTACGAGACTTTAAGGCTGTGAAAGTATTGAGAAACAACCATTTAAGTGGAGGCGATATTGAGAAACATCCACTGTGTTTGGTATGCCAAGAAACAGTAAAATATGCAGTAACTTTATAGAATAAAATTAATGAAGCAGATTAAACTGAAAATAAGCTAGAATAACTTGGAATGGCATTGCTGATTTGTTGTACACTGTGAACTCTCGGTACAATGCAAACGATTTGCACGCGACTTACAGAGTCGAATAGGCAAAGTTGTTATAAATCAAGGGCATGGACAACTTGATAGCCAATAACCTTACTCGGTAAACGCTTACCAGATAAGAATTACTATCGTCATTTATTGGATAAGATCGTTGATCCGTGTTACCAGACTATATTATTTTTTATCTGTGTTACAATCAAACTGTTGTTTTTGAGAGTATGTCAATATCAATATTTTAAAAAACCAGCAATCTAAGCCAACTATGTACAACCACCTTCAAACATGTGCCTTTACATTCACATTTTCACTTTTAGGGGCGGTTTGACAATTGCTGAATGGTTTCGTGTAGAATGATTAAGTGGTCAGAATGATTAAGAGGCTCTCATGATATAGTGCAAAATGTAATATAATTGTTTGATAATTGTGTACAATGAAATTAGGGCTCTTAATGGTTAAGGGAGATCCATGATACAAAATCATTCAGATGGTTTTAGAACTATTAAGAGGCAGACTTATTTTTTTTCCTATCAAACAAGATTCACCTCTTAACGATTCAGATGTTTTCTCTTAATGAAACTATTAAGAGGTAAATAAACAACCCCTTAGTTATATTATCAAACATTTACATATATTTAATCAGTTTTACATAAATGAATTTGATAAAGTCTCAGTTATTTTCATTGGAACCCAACCGTATATATCTATACTATCTTATTAAGCAAATTTTGTAAAAATCTTAAAGTCTTAAAATACTAAATGACCAAAATACCCTTTATACTATTTTACCTCAACTTTTCACATTCTTCTCTCCTCACATACACTCACCCTCTATCAACCATTTTTCTAAAACTATAATTTTAAATTTATACTTTATACCCCTATAATTAATTAATTTACTTTACGTCTTTTACTTTTAAATGTTTCATTTTAAACCTTTATCAAATTAACATAGATAATCGTATATGAATTAAGACATGTTTAAAAGATATTTTTTTATTTTAACAAGTTATACCATTATAATCGTCTCGTTAATACCTTCGAAATAAGTCCAATATTGAATAGTTTTTGACTTAATTATATTATTATATATTATATATACTGTAAAAAATATTTTTAATATTTACAATTTATAGTTATTTATTTATATATATATACTATATATTTGGGATTAGACTGTTCAAATTGCGCTGTATAATATGTTCTGAATTAATGTGTTCTTGGGTTTTTTTGAAATATATATATGCATGCATTAATTCAACCTTAATCTGAGTTTTTAGACAAGAAAGAGGGTAAKCAGTTGAAATTTCATTCTAAAACCCATCTTTTTTGGTCTTTTCATGGCTTATCATCTGTTAAATTTGTAGTTTTCTTTATTGGTTTTAAGTGTTTATCTTAAAACTCAAGTTTCTTGGTTATTTGCTCTTGGTGTAAATCGAACACATTTGTGGAGTCGTCTAAATATGTTGCATTTTAAATATATTGGATTTTAAATTGTCATACAATTTTTTTCATCGATAGTCTGTAATTGGAACCATAACTCTTATTTATTCAAATTATATTAATATGGAAAAACCAAGTGTAACCTATATCATCGTTAAATCTTATCTTATAAAACCAGTGAAACTTCAAAATCGTTAAAATTCATGGCTCCCGCCGCATTGCGCAGATACACAACTAGTATATATAACTGATAAATTTTTGTCGACAGCTAAAACATGTAGCTAAACATAACCATCATAGAATAACCCAAAATGCCACGTGGGTGCCACGAGGTTGTTTCCTGTTCAAAGAAATCGGAAGTGGGACCCACTGCTTTATTTCCAAGGCCACGTCAGCACCTTTATGTCCTTGCCACGTTTTGATCGGGTGATCCCCTGGTCTCGCGCGCACACGAAATTGGAAGGAATCTGAATCTTCTTTTCCCCAAACAACAAAGAGAAAAGAAGCGAAAAATATTTTCGAAAAATTTATGAACATAAATCAGTTGTGTATACATACAGATGATTGTATGTATATCTAGCTAAAAGGCAAAGCTACACAGATCTGGGAATCGGAATATAATCGACCTGTTTGTTGCTTTTTTTGGTTTGCGTGATTCAAGCGACTTGTTTCCGTTTAGGGTTTTTCATCTCCATCCTCTAGTCGAGATCTTTCTTTGTTTATTGGATCATTACAGACGGAAACACTTTGTAAGTATTCATCTTAACGTTTGATTTGATTTGATTTTGATTGGAGGTTTGGTTTATTCTTTTGTCAGTAATATTTTGAATTTGCACTTTTTATCGTTTTTTATGTATGTGGGATTGTGAGTGGGTGTTTTGCTTTGCTTTGATTTCTGGTGGAAATTAGGAAATTCGAACAGCCTGGTAACTGTACTGCATGTGTGTTCTAGTGATGGAAAACCACAAAAAATTGTTTTGGTTCACTTATTGGTGAAAGAATGGGAAATCGAGAATTCTTACCCGTGTCTGGTAGGGTTCTAGACATAACACCGCACCTACTTTTCGGGCGGTAGGGATAATAGGGCAAGTTCTGTTAGAAGATTTCCTGCAATTCTGATGAGCTTCAATTGTGTTACTTGTGTTGGGTTGCTCATGGTTCTTTGTAAAATGTCTATGATGGATAAAAGGCTCTGATTGTGTGGAGGCTGTTAAGTTATGATGGAAAGTTTATTGAAGAGTAGAACGTGCATAGGGTTTACAATTTTTTGGAAGAGCAATTCCTTGCAAGTATCTGAATGACTGAATACAATAGTGAGTTCATATGGAAGTAATTAATATGATATCATACTTTTAACTATGTGTTATATGTATGACAGTTTTGAATCATGAATGAACGGTAAAGGGTTTGTTGGTATTAGCAGCATGCCAAAATTCAATAATCTGGAGTGAGTTATGATTTTGTTGCTGGCAAAATTTGTTGGCGATATATTGGTTGTACACAAATGGAGACATAGTACTTGGTGTCCATGGAGGGGTAGGGTTGTAGAAACACTTATATATCAGCATATAACGTTATTACTGTTGTCAGATTCCCTATCTTTCTGTCCCATACTCACCCAATTTATTTTGTTTTGTAGGTGATAAATTTTTGCTATTCAGTTCTTCCAGGAAAGAAGTGTAGATTTATCTGCATCTAGCTTATGTTTTGAATACCGAGTGTGTTGGAGATTGCAGGAGGATCTGAAAATGTTTTAAACTAATCTTTACATATCATGGAAACTCTTATCAAATGCATGATGACGGTGAATGTCATCATGACTTATGTGAGGTGTGCTTGAATGAGAGCATGAGTTGGAACCTGTAGAATGCAGAATACCAGAAATTAGAGAATGGATGATTACAGACTACCTGAGATTTTGCCTCCTGCGTGGATAAACAAGAATCCATCTGAATTGGCAGAATCACACGTCTTCATCATCTCTTGCTTTGTTGCTGGAATTATTGGTATCGTGACTATTGTGTATACTGCTTTCCAATGGAGAAGAAACATCAGTCTTAGTTTGATGAAAGCTACTGCAAAGCAAAAAAAGGATCCAAAATCGAGAAGCAAGGTACCCCTAGCTGCTCATACTTGGTATTTGGAGTCTGGATCTCGTGGGAAAAGCTTAAACTGCTGCGTGTGCTTAAAGTCAGTGTCATCCTCTCAGACACTTGGGCCCATGGTGGCTTCAGATAGCTTTATTCACCGTTGTAGAATATGTGGTGCTGCGGCACACCTCAGCTGTTCCTCAAAGGCTCACAGAGATTGCAAATGTGTCTCTATGGTTGGCTCTACTCGTGTTTTGCATCTTTGGGCTATCAGGTGGACTGAGGTGGTAGATCAACCTGATGAAATATCTTTCTGCAGCCACTGTGAAGAGCCCTGTAGTGCCTCTTTTCTCGGGGGATCACCAATATGGTGTTGCTTATGGTGTCAACGCTTGGTTCATGTTGACTGTCATAGTAGCCTGTATAGTGAAACAGGTGATGTTTGTGATTTGGGTCCTTTTAGAAGGTTGATCTTGTCACCTCTTCAAGTTAAGGAACTGAGACGGTCTTCATCAGGTGGAATCTTGAGTTCCATCACCTTTGGAGCTAATGAGATTGCATCTACTGTACGTGCGAGTATTAGAAATCAAAGTAAGAAAACCAAGCAAGGAAACCAAGTTCCCGTGGATAATAGTAATGGTAGCATAGAGGAATCTTCTACAGAAAGTACACCAGACACTAATTTGGTGAATGATGCCTCAAATAAAACACAAGAAAACTACAATGGGAACACAAACGCAGATGGTACAAGTCAACACCAAGATGGTGATGTAGTCAAGAAGTTAGGTCGAAAGCTGAGTTTTAAGAGAAGCTTATCAAATATTCAGAGAGATGAGTCACATATAGCAGGAATGAAGCAGAAATATGAGTTGACTGATTTGGGCCCAGACGCAAGGCCTCTTTTAGTCTTCATTAACAAGAAGAGTGGTGCTCAACGAGGCGATTCACTCAGGCTACGGATGAATATCCTCCTAAACCCTGTTCAGGTCAGTGCATTATAAGGTTTCAGAATACTTATGGGACGTTGGTTTCATGAACGTTTTCCTTGCTCCGCAATTTAATTTTGCTGGTAGTTTATCCGTTCTGCAACTGCTGATTTGAACAAAAGGAGTCCATTTGGCTGTTTATATTGGAGAGAGAGATAATGCATTAAAGTGGAACTGTAATATTCTTGGGGATTAGCCAATTAGGTGTTCTCCATGAGCTCAAAATTATCTCTAAAGAGATAACTCATGTGCCTATCTTTTGCATAGATTCAACTTATATTGTTGTTTTCATTTTATGAGAAATATAAATAAGCCCTGGTTATAATCTCTTGGAATCTAATGCTGCTAGTTAATGAGAAAAGAGGATGTGAAAATGCATACGGGAATACCAAAGTCGTGCCATATATTCTGTTAGAAGCCAACTTTAGTGTGGTTAGTGTAGTTACTTGCTCATCATGAAAATGATAGCTGCATAGGTTATACATGTGCCTGTAATAAACAAGATGTATGTTGTTATCAGCATAATAATTGGCTTTCTGATTTTTCTGATAAATGTATTCTGCCTTTTAATCAGATTCGCTCTAATGTCTTTTAGGTTTTCGAGTTGAGCTCAACGGAGGGGCCAGAAGTTGGTCTTTATCTATTTAGAAAAGTACCCCATTTCAGAATTCTTATATGTGGAGGGGATGGAACTGTTGGATGGGTATTGGATGCCATTGAAAAGCAAAATTTTGWKTCTCCTCCTCCRGTYGCYATTCTACCTGCCGGAACTGGAAATGACTTGGCGAGGGTTTTAGGTTGGGGAGGTGGTTTGGGATCAGTAGAGAGACAGGGAGGCCTCTGCACGATGCTGCAAGACATAGAGCATGCTGCTGTAACCATTCTTGATCGTTGGAAGATTTCTATAACAAACCAGAAGGGAAAACAGCTTCGTTCCCCAAAATTTATGAATAACTATCTTGGTATGTGACATCTTTTAAACATCCTATCCATGTTTGATTTCCTAAGCATTGTCATAGGGTTGCATGGGCATTCTGATTTCTTTTAATGTGTATTAAGTTGCACTGCTTGATACCAACAAAAAAGTTTGACTGGTTGGAAATTTGATATTGAAGCTGTCATACGTGTATAAGCTTTCTTGACGGGTCTCCTCATCTTCTGTGACTGGTGGTTGCTAACTTGAGCATCAATCTTTCCTTGTGTACTTTCAATTTTTTGTTGAAAGAAGACCATGTTGGTTGATGTGAGAATCACACTCTTACTGCTCTTGTGGGAAGAATGGAAAAGCTGGAATTCTGAAAGAAAGCAGTTCATTAATTTTCATGACACTGAAATGCACTCGTTATGCATAGAGTGTGTTGAAGGCCTCTCTGCACACAGCTTGGCCCCCTTCTCCCCAAAAGGACTTCTTTTTTCTGCACTTCCTTCTTGTACCTCATTCTGTTATTGTCATTGATGTTAATCATTAGTAGGATGGACATAAAACATGTCAATGCAGGGGTAGGATGTGATGCAAAGGTTGCTCTAGAAATTCACAATCTGAGGGAGGAGAATCCAGAGAAATTCTATAATCAGGTATGCATGGTTTGTTTGGTTTTACCCTCTTGAATGCTTATTGAGGCTTGAGAGGTGCATTTATGTCCGATAGAAGGAAAGTAAAACAAACTGGCCAAGATATCTGGTAACATTGCCCGGAATAATTGCTCAAAAGATACTAAGGGGGTGTTTGGTTTGATGGAATGGTTTTGAGGGATTTGGATTTTGGGGAAGGATTTGGAATTGTAGGGATATGGATTTGGAAGGATTTGAAATCTTTGGTGCGTTTGGTTTGTAGGATTTGGAATGGAATTGAATTCCTTTGTTTGTAAATATTTTATAAAAACAAAAATGCAAATAATTATAAAAATTATTAAATGTATCTTTTTATCTATTGATTATTACAAAACAAGTGTTTTAGACATATTTTAAAACATTATTATATATAAATCCTACGAAATCCCATGAAATACCACCCACACCCATGGGATTTCAAAATCCTATGTTTGTGGGATTTCAAATCCATGAAATTCTTCAAATCAAACATGGGATTGGATTGGATTGGATTGGAATTCAATTCCAAATCCCTTCAAATCCTACAAATCATATGGGACCTTAGGAAACATCCAGGTAGCAACCATATATAGGGAAATGTGTCGAACCTTATTGGTTGAACTAATATGTCATTCACGTTGGGTCTCATACACACACGCAACATGTAGATAGCACAATCAAGTGTTTCTTTGATGTGGATCATGCCATCTTGATTTATGATCAAGACTGATTTGCGTCTTTCTCTTGTTCGTTATTTTAATCACAGAATTTATTAAGAATATGGTCTGCATTAAAGTATAATGTGCTAATGTTACATCGTCTTACTCCCCAAAAGAGCACCCAATAGGCCAATTTAAGTGGCAATTGATCACATTTCTGTTCCTGTGCTTAATTATCTTCGTGAAGCTGAATTTAGTTGGTGTATGATTGCAGTTTATGAATAAGGTTTTGTATGCCAGAGAAGGTGCTAGGACCATCATGGATAGAACATTTGCAGATTATCCTTGGCAAGTTAAAGTGGAGGTAGATGGTGTTGATGTTGAGGTCCCTGAGGTTAGTTCAACGGTTTTCATTCGAGAAAAACACAACATCTAACAAATTCTTATTTTATGATTTATAGTGTTCATTTTCTTTATTTACATTTCTATTTTTCTTCATACAGTTCTTATTTATAATAATGTATTTTTAGTGCATCATGCATATTTGTTCTTTTATGCCCCCGTTTCTATAATACTGCACATTTCTATCTTCATAGAGGTTGTGTCAATTGTTGGTTCTTGCATAAAACTTGCTGAGTGATCTGGCAATTGCTGACCTTATTGCTTTTGCAGAGACTACTGATATGCCCCTTTTCTCTTATTCATAAATGGATATAATTTTTTCGTGTCATTACTCTGAATATCTTATTTGTGGATCGACCTTTTATTTATTTATTCAAGTCATTTTGGTTTTTTGTAACTTGTACTGAACATTGATGTATTTATTGTTTACATTTTTCAGGATGCTGAGGGTGTTCTTGTTGCTAATATTGGCAGCTATATGGGTGGTGTAGACTTGTGGCAGAATGAAGATGATAACTACGATAATTTTGATCCTCAATCTATGCATGATAAGACACTGGAGGTTGTGAGCATATCAGGGACCTGGCATCTTGGAAAACTTCAGGTAACATCACCTCACAATCACAGTTTATTATTACATTAACTCGCTTCCTTCCATTTTCACAACGCTCTCTGTTTCACCTGCGAGAACTCCGTTTAGAGTAGGTGTGACTTGCAAACCCCTCCTCCCTCCCCTCCCTAGAAAGAAAGAAAGAAATAAGAATAAAGAAAAAATTTCAGCGAAGAAGAAAGTCTTTTTTTCTTCCGTTTGAACCTAATGAGGAAGTATTACCCATGTCCCAGGTGGGGCTTTCCCGAGCTCGAAGGCTTGCACAAGGGCAGACGATTAAAATTCAGCTTCTTGCTCCATTGCCTGTTCAAATAGACGGTGAACCATGGATGCAGTCACCATGCACGTTAACCATTTCACATCATGGCCAGGTTCTCTCTCTCTCTCTATATATATAGATATACACACACACATAATGCTGATATAGTTCTCCTATAGTTTTCTCTCATATCGACTCTTCTGACCCGTACTATCCATTAAATCCATCCGCACCCAGATCACCTTCGAGTCGATGTTTTCTGTTTAACTCTTGGGGTAAATTGCATTAGAAAATAATGTACTTCTAATTCCAGTTTTAGGTAATGTACTTTTAGAACATTCATTTTGGTATCTGAGATAGAAACTTTCAAGCATTTAAGTACCTGGATGACCTCTTTAACCATTAACAGGTTACCATGCTGACATGGCAAATGAGGTGGCATATATGTCACTGTTATTTGCTCATTTGGCAAATGATGTGGGTTTTTTATGTTAAATTAATTTTAAAATAATAAAGGGTTTAAGAATTTTTTCTAATAAAAGAAAACCAAAAAAACCCTAGTCCATTGTTATCTCTCCTACCTGTGGTCTACTTCCACAATGCATTCATCATACATTTATCTCAACCCCACATCTTCGCCTCTCAATGCATGAGTCCAGGTCGTGTTGGGGTGGGGGACGATACCTACCTCACTCCCTCTAAACTTTACCCAGTTTTAAAAACCAGAACCCTCTTCCTCTAAAATGTCTTGCTAGTCAAGTTAGAGCAATAAGAAACAAGTGAAAAAAACTAGTTTATCGAAAAAAGCTCAAAAGTCTGTTCGAGATCGCAAGAGATTTTCATGGGTGAGGGGGCTGTATTTTGAATCAATGTGGAAGGGGAAGGGGGCAGTGTGGGTAAGGAAGATAAGTAGGTAACCATGGATTAGGGTATTTTGGTAATGTTTTTATTAAAAAATTCTGAATAAAAGTAATAATTATTATTTTATAATTACTTTTATATAAAAATTCACATCATTTGCCATGTCAGCAAATAATATTGACTTGTATGCCACCTCATTTGCCATGTCAGCATGATGACCTGTTAATGGTTAAACAAGTCACCTAGGTTCAGGTACCAAAATGAATGTTTTAAAAGTACGTTATCCAAAATCGGAATTAGGATAACATATGTTACCTTTTAATGCAATTTACCCCAACCTTAATCTTATTTTTCTCCATCTAAACACACTGAAAGAATGCGAAACGGGACATTATATTTTTTTTAAAAACAACCATGTCTCATTATGTTAGTAGGTTTTGTGGTACCCACTCTTATGAATTATGATGATAGTGGTTAGCGTAATTTTGATCCCTTGAAGGGCTATTTTCGGTACCCTAGATCAATTCAAGATCCAACCATCTAAACACACTGAAAGAATTATATGGACGGGCAAAGGTGAAGTAGGCTGGTGAAAGAATTTTGTGTTTTAGGGTTTTTAATTTGATGAGTAGTTTAGTAATTTTTTTAATCACGTCCCATCTCCCAGATTTTCATTCCACCTATATTGACGGGACAAGAGAAATGCAATTTTGTCCCACCTTGTCCTGCGCCAGTCTAATTTCACACCAATCGTGGGAAATAAGTTTTTGTCCTGGTACAATCCCGCATACCAAACATATGGTATGTGGATATGAATGTTTTGTTTTAATTAGCGTTGGCTGATCGACCGACCATTTGTTTTGTTGGGTTTGGTATTGGATAGGCTTTCATGCTGAAAAGGGCGGTGGAAGAACCTCTCGGGCATGCATCAGCGATAGTGGCGGATGTGTTGGCGCATGCAGAAACGAATCACGTGATAACCGCATCTCAGAAACGAACCCTTCTTCAGGAAATGGCACTGAAACTATCGTAAAGAATACGAGCATTACATGTAGCAGGTGGTATATCTATTAGAGCTGTTATCCTCTCATGTGTCATATGTGTTTTTTTTCTTGTATACGAATCTCTGAAATAAATATAAGAACCCAAAAAGATTTTGCCTAAACTCAACCCAACTCAATGATTTTGTGTAAGATACCACCAAAGCCAGATAGAACCCCATTTTGGTGCTTGTTGGAACCATGAATTGAAACTGGTGTACAAGTTCGTAGTGGGTGGTGGGTGTGGTTGCGGCTCATGGTGGTTAGATGATGGTTGGTGAGTATTGAGGGTTAGTTTACCAAACGCTTACCGGGTGGGATTTAGGGGCTGTTTACCCAAACGCTTACACGGTAAGCATTTACGGGTAAGAGTCGATACTCTACACTCTAATTTAGTTTATCGGGTAAGATTGTAGTCCATCAAAACGGGATCGTATTCAACAAGTTATCCTGTAAGCGCTTACAGGGTAAGAGTTGTCATCTCATGTACCGGGCTAGACTTTCCATTCTTATCATTGCTCTTACCGGGTAAGATTCTCGGCCCTTGACATGTTTATCCCATAAAGTAAACGGCTCCTTTCCTTTTGGATGACCATTGCAATATGCAGGGACTCATAATCTTACTTGGTACGGGTACGTTAATGACAATAATCTTATATGCTAACTGAGGGGAAGAATCTTACCAGGTAATCGTTTAGTGGGTAAAAGAAATTTAACAACAATCCGTTTTGATGGTTGAAAATGATACCTGATAAGGTAAATGATGGTGGTGATCTTTTTGGTTTTGGTAAACGACGCCTAAATAATTCAACTCCTTTCGTACTTGGTAGGGGTCTGCAAAAGGTCATCCGATTCAATTTAAATTGACTGATTCAATTAGAACCGACCGACAATATTTGGATATTCAATTGTAATTGGATCGAATTGGAACCAGACAGTCCAACATCCAATAAAACCGAACCGATTTAATCCAATGACCATCCAATTAATAACTATAATTATTAACATTTTTACAATATTTTTTAGTTGATATTTATGTACATTGTTTTTTTAATAACTTAAGAAAATATATGAATAATTGGTTTAAATAGTGGATTAATTGGTTGAGTATTGGATCAAAAGAGTGGACGAATCCAATTCAATCCAATAGCTAACCAATAGTAACATCCAATGGATGGAACCGATCCGATCCAATCATCCATTGGATTTGGATTGAATTGGATGTCCAATGTTAATCGGATCGGATCGGATCGGACGACAAAATCCAACATCCATTGGTGGATTTTGTAACCGCTCTTGGTTACTCGGAACTAGACCTGGACCATAACCGAGTACAGTCCTAAAAACGTGCGTGCAAATTTGGATTATTATTGAACAAATTATGTGATACATTAAACAATTGTAAGGTCAAAATATTACTTAACGATCGTTACATGATCCAAACCTGTTCTATATAATTTCTTGCGAACCATATCGTTAACGTTAAATGTTTTTAATATAAGAAATATCAATCTATCGATTATATACACAAACACGTGTTGCTTCAATATACATTCTATCGTAATTACATGTGATTGTGTATATGATGTACACAACACAAGACTACGATCATGTATATATTACGTACCAATATTATGATCATGGATATTGTGTATAAGATAAAAAACGGTTCACAATTATATATATGAGTGATAACTCTTATTTTAAGTGATATTTAGGAGCCGTTTACCAAACGCTTATGCGGGTAAGTGCTTACCAAGTCACAATACCTTACCGGATGAATATGGAAATACCAATAATCTTACTTAGTAAGAGCGAAGGTAGAGACCGAGAGTCTTACCCGGGAAGTGAGGGCGACGACTTTTACCACGGTTAACGCTCACCTGGTAAATTGTTTCATACGATTTTGTTTTGGTGGACTAAAATCTTACCTGGTAAGTAAGTGATAGTGTTGAATTTTGCTGGTAAACACTAACCCAAGTAAGCGTTTGGTAAACGACCCCTTACTCTTTGTTAGCAAGTCTTTTTATTCCCTTTTAGTGTGTGTTTTTCTTTTATGTATCTGTGTTTCCTCTTTTTTATCTATTTATTTATTTTCATTTAGATTGAAGATAAAAGTTTGTATTTTGATTAGTGTATGAGTCGTTTTTGGAGCTAAAACACCATGTAGCCTCAATTTCAGCATCGTGGCGAACAACTGCATTGTCAAGAAATATTTTCTGCATATTTTTGTTAACACATTGGTGAAATATGGAAAAGAGCTGGACCAAGGTCAACCCGCTTTTCAGTACTTGTTAATTTTAATTCTCCAATATTCTCTCGACAACAAAAACAATCTTATAAAACCTAACTTTGCATATAAAATTCGTGGAAATACCTGATTCTTAGTAGACCAGTCCCTGTAGAAAACGATCTTTGGTATTTACCATTGTATTACTTGAAAAAGCGAACTCAATAGTGGTGTACGCTTGCACCATTATTATGCCACGGTTTACGTGCGTTATTTTTACTATCAATGAGTGTAAAAGATTAGAAGTGGTTCTATGATCCATCATGTACACATTCACATGTGATTATGTAGAATATTAAATACCGACGCCATTATGTACACAATCATACATCGTTAGCGTTCATAACTTTATATGATTACATCATTATACATTAAAGAAACACGTGATCGTGTATATACTGATCGTATTGGCATGTGGTCCTGTAGACGATCACATGTGGTTTATATACATATATCAATCATATTTCAAAAGATTAAATCAGAACATCTTCAACAGATTCTCACAAATGAAAAAAATTCTACAAAACACTGTATTCAACTTCAATATAACGTCTGTATTTTAGATATTACACCATTAATTATGTGACACGTTCCTCCCGATTCGATCAACGAGATCAATCGGCTAAAGAGCGGGATTACTAAAATAAATCATACATTAATAGAATATTATTTATTTTTCTTAAATATTCGGTTCGCAGGTTTCTTATTGGTGGAATATAATAAAAATATTATTTTCTCTTTTATGGTAATCATTTTCGAGTTCTTCAAATTCGAAGAATTCTAGACTCTCTCTCCTTATTTTTCTATTTTGGAGAATCTATTAGACTAAAAAAAATCCAAAAACTCTATTTTCTATGTTTTGGAGGATATATTGAAGACGGTTTTAAGGGGGTGTTTGGAATTGCTTATAAAAACAACTTATTGACTTATTCCGGTGTGACATCGGTAATTAACACTTTTGAGTGTTTGGATATACAACTTATATCGGTGCCAAACTAGTAATAAAGAGTTTTTGAAGAAGTTAAACCATTCTAACTTATAATAAGTTGATAATGAATTTTGTAGAAAAACATAAGTTGTTTCAAATGAGCAATCCCAGACACCCCCTTAAATTACGATTGATATGACTCGTTAAATTTATTTTTAAATTACTAGAAGGGTACTCGCGCAATGCAGCGAGATAAATCTCGATTTTAATGTTTAGTTTTTATTCTTTGTCTCTATCGATATAATACGATTTTATGTGGTTTTGAGAAAACGTTAATGTTTTTATTTTTGAATTAAAATATAAATTTGAAGATATCATAACAGTTTGTAAAAAAAAAATCGATAATAGTATCAAATTAACTATTTAATAGTTCTCATTTTTTTTGTGAAACTTCTTTAATTCAATTTTTTATTATTATTTAATTCAGATTTTATAACAAAGTAATTTATTTTTGGTTTAATAATATAGTTTTTTATAAAGACAATAATTAAACATTATGTTAGAACTCAATGATTATCTTAATTATATTTTAGATTTTCTAAATTTAAAATGAATGTTTATCCTGTATTTGATCATTTTTATCATCAGTTAGTTATACGAATTTAAAAATCAAGCTTTAATAAGTTGTATTTATGCAAAATTACTTGTAATATTAAATTTTAAGTAATATGCATAAATAAATAGTACTTTATGCATAAAAAATAGTTTTTAAGAGTTTTTATCAAATACTTTATAATATAGTATAGATTATTAAAATAAAATTCGTAAAATAATTTTAAGACAATAAATTGTTCAAAAATAATTTATATTTCATATTTAAGTAGCAAAAAGTTTGAAAATATTCTTAAATAATAATAATAAAATAAATAACATACCGACAAAAAATAAATAATATTACCAATATTTTAAATGAAAATGCATAATTTTTTATTCTAAAATATAAAAAATATAATTTACACACAGCATTATTTAATAAGACATTGACAACAATCATGCCATGATTAAAAAAATAAATTAAATTTAATTAAAAAAACAAAAATTTAAATTTAATTAAAAAATTATCACACGATTAAAAAAGCAGATATTTTTTAGTTTAAAAAAATAAAAAAAATGAATATTAATTTCCTTAAATATTTATTTTTAGTCATGTGTTACGAAAAACGCTGACCGCCATTTTCCGCACAATTCGTGTCCGACTTTTCATCGATTTCTCTCTTCGCTAACCCTAATCCCTAAATTCCATCTCGATTTACTCGGATAGTCCCGGAATTTTCACCGGTGTTTCGATTTTCTTCTTTGCCTATCGATTGACCTCTTTTTCAACGCCTGCCGTTCCGGAAATCGGTTTCTAGGTTAGGGTTTCGAAATTTTGTTGATTCTTCACCAGATCTGTCAGATCTATCATCAGTTTTAGGTAACTCAATCGATTTGTTCTTGTGGGTGTTTTTCTCTTTGTTGTAATTTTGCAGGTCTTGAGATATTGTTATTATTAGTTTGTTCGATCTAGGGTTTGTGATTCGAATTCTTTCTTCTTGTTCGATTATTGGGGTCTTTGTCTATCCTCAAATTAACTTAAACCGAGGAGATTAATGGTTTCCAATCGGTGCGAAATCGTGAAAGTTTTCAATTTAGGGATCTAGGGTTAGTGTTTCTGAAATAAATTTGGGGATTTTTTATTTATCAACGGTAAATAGTTGATTCTGCTTAGCTATTTACAAATTGAGGGATATTATTAGCTTTATTACGATAAAAAAACTTCCCCTTTTCAATTATATATTTTGGCAATCACCCATACATTTGATTTCTTTCTGGTTTATAGGTTTTAACTGTTCTGGGTTTTCTTGGGTGTTGACTTGCATGTGCCTATTTGAATTCTTACTTGTCAGAGCAACACTTATTACAACTTACCTCTTGAAGAAAGGAGTGCCCATTATTAGTCCTCACAAGCTTATTATAATGCCTCGTGTACCCCCATTAATGTCTTTAGAGGTGGTAATGAATGCCTTTGTGGGAATCTTTTTATTACTAAATTTAGCCAAAAGAATCTTGTTCTTCAATGGGTATCTTCTTGAGGGTTCAAGATTTTCTTATTTCTTGCCACGTCATTGGTCTTTAATGTTCTCAAGAGTGGATATTAATGGAGGAAGTGTGCACTTTCCATTGCAGAATCTACAGTCATATTTTGACTTCTGACTCATCTTTATAAATGAGAGTCCCACTTTGATGTCAAATACTTTTTTTTTATGGAAATAGTAGTGAAATTATGTGTGTTTTCTAGGTTATGAACATGTTTTTAGATCTACTTAGCCAAAAGATGAGTCCATATTTTAGTATTTTCAAGTTCAATTTGGTAAAAAGATTTTACATTTAATACCAAAAATGTGCTACTTGTGGTGTTCTTTATACCGTGTATTGCAAGAATCAAATTATCTTGAAAGTTATAAGTAAATATCTTCAGTTTCTAGTTTAGAGGAATCTTAAGATGGGATCGATCTTTATTGGGGTTTATAGTTTGTTATCATGTTCCATGTATAAGACGGGTTTCCACAGATTCATATAAATTTGAATTTGAAAATGGCCTTTTTACGGTTTACCACAAAGGGCAAAACATGTGTAGTAAGTTGCAATAATTTAGAAGGCATCCTTGATAATTGATTGTGTTAAGGGGAAGGGAAGTTTAATAACTTTGAACTTCATCTTGCAGTTAAAAATGGTGCAGAAACGTCAATTGGCTGAAGAGGAGTATGATGCTTCACCCAAGCACTTGAAATTGGAAAATAGTTGCCAATTAGTTTCATGTTTGGAATTTCCTTCAAAAGACGGCCCCGTAAAATCTTGCATTTCAGGTGTGTTGGGGAGAGCTAATTAAGATTTGCTTGTTTTGTATAATGCTTTGGCTGCTATTGATATAAACCAGAGCTTAAGCTTCTTGACACATATGCCATAATATGCATCTCTGTTTATGCTTCCAATGGGATATATCAAAGTTTGATAGTCTTTTTGGTGGGGATATCAACTTTAAAACTGTTTTTCGTTTTTCTTCAACCGAAGCTCTATTGAACCTCATGTTTCTGGAGGTGTTTTAATGTGGGTCATCAGAGCATCTCCAACAACTATACTATATTTTCTCTAAAATAGAGTATTAAAAGTCAAATCTCTAAAAAAAGATAGCATAGGTGTTGGAGCAAACAAATTGTCAAAATCCCTCTTTTCTCTGTTTTAGTATAGCTGTTGGAGATGCTCTCAATGGATGATCTTTAGTAAAAGTTGGAAGACTGATGGTCACAACTTATTTTTAGGACCAAAGAAACAAAGTGCATGTTATCTGCTTTGATGTTAAACCAAACCAAAGTAGGGTCTTGGGGGTAAGATGTACATAAACCTGACCTCTACACTGAAGAGTAGAGCGTTTGTTTCTATGAAGACCCCCGGCTTGTAGAGCATTTGTTTCTATGAAGACCCCCCGGCTTGTGAAAAGTGTGAAAGGGAGAAATATGGATGTGCTAAAATTTGAAAAAGCTAGATATGAGTAAACAATAACGGAACAATTATACAAATAGAAAGAGAGAAACACAGAAATGCCAAAATTTGAATAACTTGATATGATGAGTCGATAGCAATATAAATAGATACGGGTATACAAAAGACATAACTAAGGTGTGGAAACTACTTCTTTTTGTTTTCCTGTTTTGGTCATCGACTCATGCTATGATATGATAGGCATATCTGAGGACCCTTTCATGGAAGAAACTTCTGAAAGTGAACGTCGATTTGAAAGTGGCAAGATCTTGGATCTTCCAGTGTGCACCGAGAAGGATGTTGGGTATTCTCATCTCCTACGATTTCCTCCTCTAAAAGAAGTCCCCATTGGACCCGAATATCAAGCCGTTATTCCAGAATGGTGTGGATATGATGCCAACAACATCTCTTTTCGGTCTGGTTCCTCCAAAACATCTGCTTTTTGTCAGACTTCAGAAGCAAACTCCATCTATGATGAGAATAAGTTTATGGGGTCTTGTATCGTTTCAATTCACGAAACGGATGGAACTGTTTGCAATGATGATGCGGTTGGAAGAGGAAGAACCGGCTGTTGTTGTGAAGACCCTGATTCTCTTAGATGTGTTCGACAACACATCAGAGAAGCAAGAGAGAAGATTAGGAGAAACATTGGGCACGAACGATTCTTGGAGCTCGGGTTTTGTAGCATGGGGGATGTTGTGGCATGCAAATGGACCGAAGAGGATGAACAGTTGTTTCACGAGGTTGTGTACTCTAATCCTGTATCTTTAGGGAAAAACTTCTGGGTCCATCTCGCAGAAGCGTTCCCTTCACGAACCAATCAAGAGATTGTTAGCTATTATTTCAATGTATTTGTGCTGCAAAGAAGGGCAGAACAGAACAGATGTGATCCAATGAATGCTGACAGTGATGACGATGAGTGGCAGGGAAGTGATCAAGATGAGAATTTGTGTCGGGATGAGATTGAAAAATATGGTTTTAGTATCGGAAATCCAGTTTTTGATTATAATGAGGATATGGGATTTCTTCATGGGTTTAGGGGAAGTATAAACTTCTCCGAAACACAAGCATCCATGGTGGACGAAAATGGAGGAGATTGTGATTTTCAAGACGACTCCTGCACGTCGTCTGATACGGGTGTAGAACCAGAAGCGAGTGAAGTTAAGGTCGATTGTGGTAAATTGTGGAGCAACCGCGACTTCATTCTCGAGCCATTGGATTCCAAAGCGTGGGACGTGGGGTGTTTTTCCTTCCCAAGAAATAAGACTGATTTCTTGTCGACTGGCAGCATGATTGAGGAAGTCTTTGGAGTCGAGTCCTGGAATATAACGGTCAAAGATAACAAGAAAGGGTCGAGCTAGTAGAGTTCGGTCTTCATGGATGGCAACCCGATTCTTGCGGTTCGACACCCATGCAAGTTCTTGATGTCTTCTCTTGTATATTGTTTAGCAGTTGGTCAGGATTAGTAGGTATTTATCATAAAGGTCATAAAGGTTTGACTGTCTGTCTTCATCCCTTTGAAAAATCTTGGGATGCAATTCTAGTATATAAGTAGCTTTTGGTCAATTGTACCCAGAAAAAAGAAGTGGAAAAAAGCAAGAAAAAAATAGAGAAAAATGAGGGAGAAAAGTAAAGATTTGTGGTGTATTGGATTCTGTTGTAATTAGAGGCAAGTATGATGTTAGTTTTGTGGTGTTGTTTGATTCAACTGTGTGTCTTCTTTTTTGCTTTCATTAATTGGTCAAGTTCATGCCACTAGTTGTATCTCCATTGCATTAATGAGGTGTTATGTTTTTGGTTTGATAGAGAGATAGGTTTATACGAGAACAATAACCAAATAAGAGAACGAAAAACGGTCGAATCACATGTGTTTTATAAAGTTGTGGGCCAAGTTGTCCGAGTGCCCTTACGCTGTTAAAATCACATGTGATTCATAAAGTCGCTGGCGACGTTGTCCGAGTATTCTTACGCTGACCGTTAGTGTACAATCATATGTGATTTTGTCAAATGATTTTGCCATTTCCGTATTTTCATAAAGTCACGGGACACCTTTATCATTAGATGAAGTAATTATATCATTAAGACATCGTATAATTTTATCATTTTAATACATTTTTTAATCTTTTTTATATGAAATGATATAATTCGATCTTATCGGTGGGAATGAATACAAGATTATTTATTAATTCACTTTAAATTTTAGAGAATTCATTAAAGAGTAAATTATGTTTTAAGTCCCTATGATTTGTTAAAAATTGTAATTTTTGTCCTCGTGGTTTAGATATTGTGCCTTTATTCCTATAGTATATAAATTACTGATATTTTCGTCCTTATGATTTATAATTTATTGTTGTTTCAGTCCTTATGGTTTATAATTCTTTACTATTTTGGTCTCTTGTACTAAAAAAATGTGAGAATTAATTTAGGGTCGAAAATAACAATAAATTACAAATTATAAGGACAAAAATTGTAATTTTTAAACTATAGGGACAAAAATCGAAAATTTTAACAAACTATAGAGACGGAAAATGTTATTTACTCTTAATAGAGAATAACATAAAAAAAGTCTCTAATTTGAGATGCTTAAATACGTTTCGATATTAAATGGTAATATAACAATAAACACTATTATTTACATTTATTAGTATTAATGTAAAAAAATAAGAGCAATAATCTATGACAGAAACTCTTAAAAATCATTTTTTATCAACGAAGTATTGTTTATTGATGCATATTACTTAAAATTTAAGATTACAAGTAATTTGTGTATAAATACAACTTATTAAAACTCTATATTTGAATTTGTGTAACTAACTGCAGATAAACATAATCAAATATTGGATAAAAATTTCATTTTAAATATAAAAATATAATTAAGATAATTATTGAGTTCTAACATAATACTTAGTTATTATCTTTATAAAAAATTATATTAGTAAACCTAAATTAAATTTCCTTCTTACTAAACCTAAATTAAACTATAATTAAAAAAAAAATTTGAATTAAGAAAATTACACTAAAACACAAGAACTTTTAAAAAGATTAATTTGATACTGATATCGATATATTTTTTTTTTCAAAATTTTATGATATTTTCAAATTTATATTTTATCCAAAAATAAAAACATTATCACTTTCTCAAAACCACATAAAACCTATTATATCGACATAAAAAAGGAATAAAACGAAACACTAAAATCAAGATGTGTTGCATTTCACAAATACCCTTCTAGTAATAATAATAATAATAATGTTAAAATAATAATGGGTTTTGTCATTTTAAAAGAATAACATTTCAAAAGAGTTGTCAATTCCTAAGGGATGGTGAAAAAACGAATGTAATAGTGAAAATCGAAAATTGAAATTTTTGGGTCGGGTTTAGGGACTTTTTATCAGGGACGGAGTGAGGACCGAGAACATATTCGGAGATTTTATCGAGGAAGGGGGCAGGGACAGTGATCACCGGCTCGACTCGGCTCGGCCCGAACCAATGTGTATGTGTGTGTGTATATATCATTAAAAGAAAATTACTGATATTAAAATTTTAAAAACTTTTATTTACGTCACCTCAACACCTTAAATAAGCCTCATGAAAAACTCTAGTTTATTTGTCTAATCGTGATGCTAGTTTGATGATATTTGAACTTTTATATTGTAATTTAAAACATTATTCATAATTGGTTTGATTATGTTTGAAACATTTAGACTTGGTATCGTAGCCCTTGGCCTTCTAGGAGGTCAGGGGTTCAAATCTCACCATAAGTGAGGAGGGTGTGTGAGTTTATTTGTTGCATTTGCAGTATATAAATATTATATACTTCAAAAAAAAAAACATTTAGACTTGCATATTTAAGAAAATGAATCTACTTTCAGTTGTCAAAATTGACATACTGTAATTTTTTTCGGGCCGAATATAATTTTGAGTTTGGATATGACCAACAATGAACGGGGAATGGGGATTTTTACCTTTAATGGGTTCCCCAACGAGGATTGGGGAAACCGCGGGGACCCGATTGGGATTCTCAATAAGATCCTGGACGGAGATTGGGGCGGTTATAGGGACGGTTTTGGTTATTGGTTTCCGAGATCGGGATACCAATAACCAGCCCAAATCCGACCCGTTGCCATTCCTACTTCAACTACGGAATCAAAAATTCCAATTCCTTTTAACTATCAACCAAAGGCAGGAATGGAATTCGGTAGACGAAATTAATCATTTCGGTTCATTCTAATTTGATCAAATTCTACGAGCTAGATCTCCTAAGAGTAAGATCGCCTAAGGGGGTGTTTGGGATTGCTTATTTGAAACAACTTATACTTTTCTACAAAAGTACTTATCAACTTATTATAAGCCAGAAAAGTTTAACTTATTTAAAAACTCCTTATTACCGGTTTGGTACCGGTATAAGTTGTTTATCCAAACACTAAAAAATGTTTATTACAGGTGTCATACTGGAATAAATCAATAAGTTGTTTTTATAAGCAATCTCAAACACCCCCTATGATGATTACTATTCACTGGATTAGGTGTCCATTATGACTGAATACTTGAACGAGCAAACGGGAAAGAATAAAGATGATATCATTACGTGTATTTGTCCATAAAAGCTTCCACCATCCTCACCTACTCGTTTATCGTAGACATGTTCAGACATAACGATGTATCATCAGCACCAGGTCTCCTTAAGAAAACGAGATTCTGAAATCTCGATGCCGTATTTGATCAGGTCCTTTGATTGAGCTTATTTACTGGCGTTCAACATAAAATCAAACTAAATCCATTGATTTTGTTTTGAATAAGTAACCTCCTTTTTGATAAATTTCACACTGTTTTGAGTCGTTCAGCATCTGTATGGTTACGTTTTATATATTTTTATGCAAACTATATCAGTGCAGGCTCGTGCAGATCGATTATACGCTTATTACGTTAAACCAGATCCGTTGGACAAAGTCATATTTTGTAATGGTAATTGCTAATGAGTACATTTTTAAAGGCATGGGCCTAGTACTTATGAAGATGGTAGCCAATGGGTCCTAGCCAACCATGAAGGCTTTGTTAACAAGTGTGATTGACCCTTCATTAACAAGAGTACTTTTTAAGCATGGTGTTGGAATTAGTTGGTGTAACAACACATGCCACCCTTGTCTTTATCATTTCTCCATGTTAGGATCTCATTTATTAAAGGGACTTTGTCCTAGCGGTATCGTAGCTTTTGGCCTCCTAAAAGATCAGGGGTTCAAATCTTACCAAAAGTGAGGAGGGTGTGTGAGTTTTTTGTTGTTGTATTTGCTGTATGTAAATATTATATACTGTAAAAAAAAGTTGACTTGTGAATGTACTTTAATATATTTTTATTTCTATTTTTCGATTTTTATTTTATGGATCTGTATGGTCTTGAGAGAGCGAAAGAGTATTTTGTTGGTTATCTGTTTTGTAGAGTATTTTGTCGAATCAATAAGACTTAAAGGTATCTTGTATTTAAACATGTTTTCAAGTTGTTTATGGGTTTGTTTATAAGATTTAAACGTATTAATAACTTATAGGTATATAATAATAGCTCTGTACCAAAATAAATATTCACAATGGAAAAAAAACACAGTTTAAAATGATTATCTTAATCATATTTTAGATTTTCTATATTTAAAATGAATGTTTATATCGTATTTGATTATGTTTATCTGTAGTTAGTTACACAAATTTAAAAATGGAGCTTTAATAAGTTGTATTTACGCAAAATTACTTATAAAAGTCTTAGACGCCGTTTACCTAAATTCTTACCCGGTAAGTGTTTAATGTTAGGAGTCAACATTATAATTTATTTTATTGGGTGAGATTGTAGTACATTAAAACGTATCTTATGCAACAATTTACCTGATAAACGCTTACCTGGGTAAGAGTTGCCACCCTCACTTACCGGGTAAGATCTTCATCCTTATCATCGCTCTTACCGGGTAAGATTTTTGGCCTTTGCCATGTTCATCCGGTGAGGAAAATTAACCTATAAGTACTTATCAGGTAAGCGTTTAGTAAACGACCCCTTAAGTCCTAAAGTCTTAAAATTAACCTGATATTTGAATCAGCTTTAAACCTACAAAACACATGGTTAGAAATTTCAGTGCAACTCAATGGAAATTAACAGTTATTTTGAAAGAAAAAAGTTAACAATCAGTCAATAATGTTGACGACCGATGTCAATAGGAAGATATAGTAGTTGAAAACAAGTGGAGAAGCTATAAGATAACATTCAATATTAGAAACGGGATAATCCTTTTTTTCAAAGTTCAAAAGTCAAACCAAGAACAATATACAACCTTTAATACAAACAGTACAAGTCATTAATACTGTTTTGGTGGTTATAGATAAACCATAAGCACAAACGCCAAAGTATGGCATCTTATCTCTGGGCATGTAACGTCAACAAAACAACATATAATATAAGACAAGATCGACCAATGTTTTCCTTGCAATTAAGGCTCGTTCATTTCAAAATATGAAATAATGTACTGGTTTTAATGCAGTATATACAAGTTATTATAGCAATATCAGAGTGACTTTGAATCCACTGATGCAGAAAAGGGAATTCCTTCACGGGGACGTTTGGTTTGATGGAATGGTTTTTAGGGATTTAAATTTCGTGGTAGGGTTTGGAAATGGAGGATTTGGATTTGAAATGTTTGCTATGTACTTTAATTCTGTTATTTTTTAATATAAAGAATTTGTTAGAGATGTTTCGATAGCTAACCAAGATCCTACA